GTGATGTACATATTTCATAAACCAGCTGGGCAAAAACATGGGGAAAAAACATGGGCTAGAACTCGCTTAACTACTTTTACTAGGTATATATAAGCCAATCATAATTCAGATCAAAATAAGTCGAGCTTCTCGGCATCCAATCATAGTGAGGTGCCAGCGAGGTCATGGTGGACAAAGATTTCTTGTTTCTTTGATGATATACTATGCAATTTACAGCAAACATAAATATTTTTTATATACTGTATATATATATACATATTTATATCGTATTATATCATTATATATATATATATAATTAATTATATATATATACATATATTCATCCTGAAGTATGATCTTTGACATGGCCATATTCAATCTACTCCAGGATAACCAAATATATATATATATAAAACATGAATGTATCAACCCCAACCAGGGTCTATCCACTGATCAATAACGATTTCTGTGGGACTTCCATTTCCATGCCACGCATATTGTTGTTTTGTGTTCTCCATAAACTCTAGCCATCATCGTTTTGAACATCATTTTGCTAATCCGTGCTTTTGTTATTCATTGCAAACAAGTATGAGAGTGTTGGCTCTCTGTGAAAGAAACACATGTTAATCATTCTCTTGGTGGTTTCAACCCCTCTGAAAAATATGAAAGTCAGTTGGGATTATGATTCCCAATATATGGGAAAATAAAAGCCATGTTCCAAACCACCAACCTGATTTTGCCTTTGCTTGTGCTTTCCTGATACTTTTTTAATCTTTCGGGGAGATTCTCTTGGGGATTGCACAATCAGCAGAAGGATGCAACAGTTTGGGTATATACTTTGCCTCTAGACATCATGGTTGCAAACAATAGCGACATGCATTATCTGTCCAAACATCTTGAAAAACCCAGTGAAGAAAGGACATCGATGGAACAGACTGAACAAACATAGAACTGGAAATCAAAAACATCTATTTTGAGATGATTTCCTAAAGGGCACCAGGCTTGCCAGTTTCGCTGTGACTTACCCAAGGATATATACCAAGTTAATCGAAATCGATTGCACCTAGCCGACCGACCATCGAACAAAAAAAAAGAAGAGTTCAAGAGCAATACATTCTTCTGCACTATGTTCAACATACATAATAACACATGGAGGTTTCCGCAATTTTGGGGGCTCTCCCAGATCACCTAAAATCAAAGAATTTTAGTACCCTCTGGTAAACGTTTACATAACTATGGAAAACCACCATTTTTCATGGGTAAATCCACTATTTCTATGGCCATTTTCAATAGCTATGTTAGTCATTACCAGAGGGTAAATCCCATTAGATCCCATTAAACCACCATAAATCCCATTAAATCCCATTAGATCCCACTATTTCTATGGTCATTTAAAGCAACCCATGGTTTTGGGGATCCCTGGAGCCATCTTCGGGATCCCTGGCGGTTGCCTTTTTCCACATTGCTGCCTGGGCACCATGGGAACGGCAGCACAAAAAAAATCGGAAAAATCAACCATCTGGTGGGCTGGGGGTTCATAACCTTTTGTTGAAAAAATACCGGTATACCAACTTATGTGAATATAATATATACATGTATATATATACAATATATGTATGTATAATTTTTTATAGTGTATACTTATGCATATATAACAGTCTATAATATATACACATACGTATACGTACACAGGTGTGTATATATATACACATAATGTATAATATATATATAATATAATATATACATACACATTAATATAAATGTGTGTTGCATCTATGGGTCAACTTGCGGTGCCATGACTTCTGGCTCTATGGCTATGTAAACCGACAGAGCAGTCTTTGGATGATCGAACCTATCACTGGTGAATCCTTGTGAATGTGACACGACTGGCATCTGGATGCATCTGGCAGAGATGCGCCCTTGACCCCTTGCTATTTATATTACAATATACATCAAAATAAGGAAAGAAGTGTATTTTGTTCCGGGGACGAGACTTCCTAGTAAGTATGGTTACCTGAGCTCTTGCGACTTGTAGCCTCGTCATAGCCGTACCCACGTCAGGACTGTCAAGGTAGTGATGGCTCCAGCTGCCAACTCAACTTCCTCACAAGTCCAACCTAAACTACGTATCATCGTCGAATCATCGTCCAAAACCATGTTTTTGGGGGTGTAAAACGTCAGATTTCTTCCATCGCTGGGCAAATCTACCCAGGTTCTTCAAGATCTTCAATGAGATCATGGGGAAGATACAACATAGGATCTAGGATTAAGGCTCCAGCTGACTGTAAGCATTGATCATGGGGAAGACCGGCTCCCACACACTTTGTGCGTGGTAGTCGGCTGCGCCCGCGCTCTTCGCGGCTGCAAAAACTCAAATGGCTGGAGTGAGCAGTTGATGTTTGAAGAACGTTGTGCAATATAGTCATCAATGCTGAGCAAGTACACCCATAAGTGGGGTCACTCACATGCTTACATGGCTGGATTTGATGGCTTGCTGAATCTACTTGATGCATTCTGCATATTCAGTCGTGAGAATTGCTAGAATTCCCAGAACGAGAGTGCTTTTCTTTTTGACCCATGTCTAACACGTATCAACACATGCATATGGCTGATACTGCTGATTCTTAGCAAAGCTGAGACAGATTCCAATCTTCCGATCTTATACTGTGAGCCAAAGATGGGACGACACAGCAGAGCCATCACTTGACTGTTGGACAGGACAGCCACTGCACATGGCGTCTAAAGCTGCAGGGTTCAAGTGACACATGTCATAAAGAAACAAAAACCAATCACCGTTGGTTGGCCACGGCTCAATTAGTTGTTACCCTGTCCTGCTTGCTCCTTTCCATCTTTTGGTCACTTCAATCCATCGTCAAAGCAAACATGTCAAGTGGGGACACACACCAGAATCGCAATGAACGGCTACAGCTCTTACGGAATACAATAATATATATATATATATGTATATATAATATAAAATAATATAATATAATATAATATAATATAACATAATATAATATAATATTCAAATAATATAACATAATAATATGTAATATAATATATAATATAATATATATAATATAATATATAATATAATATATAATATAATTATCATATATTATATAATTATAATATATAATATATAAGATAATATATATAATATAATATATAATGTAATATATAATATAATATATAATATAATATATAATTTAATATATAATATAATATATAATATAATATATAATATAATAAATAAAACATAATAAATAAAATATAATAAATATAATATAATAAATATAATATAATAAATATAATATAATATAATGTAATAAAATATAATATAATATAATATAATATATATAATATATACATATATATATATAATCATGTGTGTACATATATATATATATATATCATGTGTATATATAAAATATAATATGAAACTTCTGAAACCACCAAATGGCTGTGAGTGCAACTGCGGACTGGTCATGACGCCAAGTCATACACTTTCTCATGGAGACACCAGTGTTTCCATTTACATGTCACCTTTTCCCTCCGTGGACATCCGCATGTTCACACCTGCGTGGATGCTTTCGGGTTTGCCGTGTTTAAACCATGTCGTTTATGTTCAGAAAACTACAGAGCAGTTCAAACAACTTTCTCACCTGATTCATGTTTCATCATTTTTCTACATTCAAACTTCGAACCACACTGAGGTCCAAATGGGTTTCTCTGAAAATAGGCTATCCCAAATTCAAATGGATTGTATATAGTCATTATCCATCATTGTCCCAATGAAAATTAAGTCATTTGGAGGGGATACCACATTTCAGGCACACCCAAAAATCATCCCAAATCCATTCTTCATTGGTAACTATAGCCAGTCACTACTTGAGATGGTTGAATCATGATAAAAATTGAATGCTAATTTTCAGACAAGCCCAAATGTAGGATTCAGCTTTGAACATCGGTTTCCACAATCCTCCCACTGTTGCCTGTTGTCGTTGCGGAGAATGGCCATAGCTGGCGTCCCTGCAGCAACCCCCCCTCCTGGTGGTCATGGTTAGGGCATATTGGCAACATGTAGGCTGTATGCAGGGTGTAACTCCCACGCCCTGTATGAAGGTATCTGGCCAGGCCACCCACATGTGGGATACGGCGTATACGGGGTTGCTGGGCGGCAGGAGCATATACAGTATGTAGAGTACATATCTGTACATATGTATATATGCATATGATCACATATGTATGCAGAAATACATACATATCTATTAAATCATGCATGTTTACAGTAGATCATGTTGAGATATTTTAAGATCAATCTCTCAATAAACACCAGTGTCCCCCATTCGCAGCCCCAACAGATTGCTGGAGGCATCAGTTGCCAGAATGGTCCTCAGGAATGTGATTTGCCATGACACGAAGCGCTGGGCGCATAGCTTTGCCCACTTCATAAACTACTCCCAAAAATCAATGGTTTATCATCTTTCTTTCTTTCCTAAAAATCCAATAAACTGGAGGATGTATCGATAGCCTAGCTTTGCAGGAACCCAGATCCACTTGATGGCTGATGATGGGTTTGTTAATGCAGGAGTTGACTTTGGGTTGTTCAGCCAGAACGTGGAGGTCAGGCAAAAAAATGCCACATATAAGGACGGGAAATTGGCGAAATACCGGCGTAAAAGACGGTCAAAGATGGCAAAAACACACAGTTCTCCACGCTTGTGGCTGTTATCTACCTACACTTGGAGCATTTTTTGCTGCACCACACGCAGTTCTTTTCCTTGTCTCAGCTTCTTCGCTTGACGTCTGTGACAAAGGTTGCGCAGGGTTGAAACACAAGCTATGTCATGTCGTGTGGGTTGATTTGGCCCAGCGCCGGACCTGGGGATTTACGGGTGGTTTTTGCTTGCAATAACCCCGAAAACTTCTGAAAAGTTAACACAATAACATATATATATATATATATGTTGCATTGTTATTATCATTATTATTCTATATATTTATGTACATATATAATAGTAACACTGCCAGTATCTGAGTAGGATATGTTCCAACTGTTTATCATCTTTAAGTGTTGCTATAAATTCCTCAAGGATGCTGGTTCCATTCATCATCTTGGACGGCTCTCTGAGAAAAGTGGGGTAGCCGCTATGATCGAGTAGTCCTGGGTGGCGGCTGCCAGGAATTTCTGGTCTTGGTAATTTTAACCACATCTAAGAAACCATAGGGGGTTAACCATTTTCTGGTATATGTCCATTGATAGGGTGGAATCGTTCAACCACATGTTCTGGGAACTTTAACCGACAATTATTGGGAATTATGGCGAAGTGATTTATTTTAGGAAACAAAAAAAATCGAATATACCCTCTGGTTATGACTAACAGTTCGCCATGGTATAGATGGCCCATTTATAGATGGTTTACCTATTAAACATGGTGATTTTCCATGGCTATGTTAAATAACCAGATGGTATTTCCCAAAATCATGGTCATATCAGGGGACCTGATATATCCCGGTAGTTGACATCAGCTGGGTGCGTCCGAAAAAATAACAGGGACTCTTAAAATCGTCGTCAGTCAGTCATAACCCACAAATATGTAAATATATCACTTGACTATACCAAGCAAGTCAGGAATTGACCAAAAAAACACACACACAAGGGAACTTGCCTCAGCAAGCCTGGTTGCCGTGCTGCCAAGCATCTGTTTGGGCCAGAAACCAGTGTACGTGAGGTGATATCCTTAATTGCTACGGATGATGTCTCCGGACGGCAATGTGTCTTAGCAAACAATGTGTCGTCGGATGCTTCAATAAACTGTCAACAATCAAACAACCTAGAAAATAAAGACACAGGATGTTGAGCAGTTGCTGAATTAAATCAGTGTATCGGCCTTTGCCCTCAAAGACCGCATATATTTACATATTCATTTAATTTGCATATTATATATATATACATACATGAACATCAGCATATGCATACAAATGTATACATATGTATATATATATATGCAACTATATAATTTAAAATATATCATTATTATCACTATTATTATTATATTATTATTAATTATGATATATATATATTATACACTGTATATGTATATTGAACAAATGACGAATGATAGTACATATTGAAAACACATCCCAACATCATCCAACTGCACCCGTGACGTCATAAACACCCTCGATCATCTTCCCCATTCCCGTTCCCGTTTGTTCAACCGCGGCGCGACCGCCCCGGTGATTGAAATTGGGATCTTGCCAGTCGTGAGGCAGCGGCACTTCTCCCAAGGCTTTGGGATCGTAGCCTGGCCGGGGGCTCAGCTGGTTGAAAGAATGGGATCCTGAAAAACCGTTCCAAGAATACGGTGTCCATAGGGTGGCTCTTGGGCCCCCAAAATTGGTGATGTCGTGATGTAGCCCATCAACACAGAAGTATTTGTTTCATGGCTCAAATGATCCCATCACCCGTTCATGATCAATTTACTAAACCATGGTTTCTGGGGGTAATATAAGGGGGATAAATGAAAACAGCCCTTTAAAGGCTGTGTGTAGTCACTGTAGTCCTTTTTGTTTTGCGGTTGTTTGCCCACTTGACCCGAAAGTGAAGCAACATTCGCCCGTCCTTTTTTTAAAGCGGTTGTTTGCCCATTTGACCCGAAAGTGAAGCAACATTCACCCTAAGAAATATCCAACTGAAACATGCAGACATTACATTCCACTTCCCAACCGCTCCCTGGATATGCCATGCCAGCAAAACGTGGAAAACCACTACTAACTTTGACATACTTTTGACCATATTAGTTGTTCTACTTGGGGACATGATCACGAACGTTCACAATAATTAGGTGTGTCCAACTTGTTGATTTATGAGTACAGCCACTCAAAAACACTACAGTAAAACCATCGGTTATCAACCCACTTACAACCTTAGATACCCTGCAAAAGCTTGTGTCTATCTGATTGGTCTATGTTCGCATTTGTGAAAAGGAAAGAAACATGAACCTGCCAAACCTAGGTTGATCCATGTTCATATAATTTCATATATATATATATTGGGCTTACCCACTACAATAATTTATAATAATTGCATCATATTGTTGGGTTTACAATTTAAGATCATTGTATCAGAATCACATATCATTATCATTTTTCACATTGCCATTATCATTGTCATTATCATGATATTATTGTTATCACTATTTTACTATTATGATTATTATCTGTATATATTAGTATAGGTAGAATTATACATATATATATATAATCATATATAACTATATGTATATATAATAATAATTAAAATATATGTATATATATAATTATATATATGTGTAACTATGTGTATATATATATATTCATGCATATATATATATATAATATCAACATACATATATATATATATCAACATATCATCAATAACCATTGATAATTCTTGTGGCAACTCCATCTGACCTGCCACTCACAGCCATGACACAGGTAATGACCTCTTCGTCCATGCCTCAGCCCATGGTTTCACCCAAGAACAAATGGAGGTTTCCTGGGGGTACCCCCAGCCTCATCCATTTTTCATAGGATTTCCAATATAAATATGTATAAATTATATATATAACATGATGATATATGTATATTATATTATAACAATCTATTTTGTGGTACCCCCAGCCATCAGGAACTCCCCAACTGGATCCAAATGGATTCAACAATTGATGTCGATTGATCAAGCATGGAGCGGGCAACCAGCATACGGCAATATAACCAACCACCAAGCATAAAAGCAAAGCATTGATAATCAAACGGGTGGTTTGAAATCCCAGCGACCCCATGTGCACGAGATTGTGATGCCTACTAATTAGCAATGCAGGGTGGGGCTGCATCACCAAAATCGCCAGTCATCTCGTCCGCTGTCCTGTGCTCTATAAGGACAAAAACCGATGGGTCAACTCAATCATACACAAAATGGGCACTGGACTTCAAAACACGTTCATCTTGAGCCGCGAGCCCGCTTCTTTTTGTCTGAAGTGCGTTGTGCTACACGCCAATCTGGAGCTGGCAGGCGAGGCGTGCTGACACGTCAGTAGAATGCTACGATCTCAAAAAATCTGAGGGGTGGAAGATAAACATACGTACTTAAAATATCTTAAAATGGACAAGAAATCACAAGAAGCTGTGCACATTGACCCCGTTCATCTCTTCTGTCACACCACCTGCACGGGACCTCAGGACCCATCAAATCATATCTCAACATTGCTCCACAGCCTGCTGAGGATCCGCTTGCATCTCTTTCAGCATAGTTGCTATGTTGTGCAGGGGATTTACAGGATCTGGAACCACGGCACCTTGCAGGGCGGAACCTGGAACAAACCTGGAATGTCTGGACTTGCGTGGTAGGGATGTCCTGAGCTTTTGGATCTACTTTGATTGGGTGGGTAGTATGTTCGCCCATTTGTAGCCGACAAAACAAAATCATTAGATGGAAGCTGCCCAACCAGCGTTGACCCAACAAAGGTCAACATTGGTGTTCTCAGCACTTCTTGGTAAAGTTTCAATCCCGCACCTGCTGACCATTGCTTGTGTCCTCGCCAATAACTCTCCACATCCGCGCTGGTGATTCCAGCCCGCGCTGCGTCGGAGCAAAGATGAAAGACAAAATCTGACTCAAGGTCACTGAGTTGGCTGAAGATGTATTGCAAACCCTCATCAAAATCAAACACACGCATCTCCTGCATGTACTCCAAAGCCAAGACTTCTACCACGTAGGAGGGCAAGTAGGTGTGAGTTGCATCCATGAAGCGAGCCTTCAAAGCCTTCGCAAGCTGAATCAAGGAGATGGCCTGTCGACCAGCATGCTTGATCAGCTGCACTTGATGCTCAGCCACACTTGATGAAGAGTCCCGAAGCATGTCGAAGTCTGTGAGGTTTCTGCGGCGCTTGCGCTTCCCAGACCACTGCGGTTGAAACTCCCTTCGCTTGAGGAAGACCTCCAGACCAGATCTGGCATCAAGCTCGTAGGTGAACAAGAGGTCGACATCAACTCCGGTGCGAGGATGTCTGAATTGCACAGAGTGCCTGTTAACCCTAGCTTCATCACCCAGTGTCCACATCTTGCAGATGCAGCTCCTAAAGGACTGCCTACAATCCTCCAACGTCGAGCTTCCCGACACAAAGACCACAATGTCAACCTCCAAACGACCTTTGAGCATGGTGCCTTTGGCATAGGATCCATTGGTTGTGATATCCTCGACAACATCAGACAACTCCCAATTTTGCCTCAAGACATTCTGAAGAGAACTGATTGCTGCAGAACACTTATCGAAGTCGTCCTCTGTTGGCTGGATCTGCTGCAGAACTTCTTGCCATGTAGCATCCCAATCAATTTTCATTTTGGTCGTCAGAGTGGCTGGAACCACTAGAACATCATAGACAAAGAAGGACACGGCGCAACTTCCTTTAGCATCCTTTAGCCACAACAGCCACAAACGATTGTTTTTGACCTTCTTAGGAGAAATGGCCTTGGGTCCTAGCGTCAAGCCGATAGAATCCCATCCTCAATCATCGCGGCTTCGCTCAGTTGAACCACCCAAATTGCTACCCAAAAGACCCACTACTATCACTCTTCATGGGTTAAAACAAAATTAATTTTAATCAAATTCGATGATATATAAACCCTCATTTGGGTTGGATAAATCTATGATCTTTCGCTAAATCCCTACTTCAGAAGGTAACTCGTGCTAGCCGCGGCGCTGTAGTCCCGTGAGAAGCGCACCGTGCCGTCTGGCGGCAGCAGCGGCAGCATGTCGCGCAGGGTGATTTTGCCAAAGGGCTGCTCCAGGTGGAGCTGGCTCACGTCCTGAGAGACCCTCCGGTGGTCATTTTCGTAACGCAGGAACAGATGGGGGGTTCCGTTTTGTCATGGGTAATAGCTGGATGATTTTGGGGAACCCCCGTTTTAGGAAACCTCCAAATGTCTATATACTGGTGCTAAATGCGGGGAGGGTGAGAATGGGATAATGTTTAATGATGTTATTGCATGGATTGGATCTTTCCCCCATTCCCTACTAAGCAGAAAGTAATTTCAATGGAAACATCATCCATGAGGGATGTTCCCCGGCCCCACAGGGATTCAACCCCGGAATTGGGTGTATCGACCGGGCGAATCTCATCACATGGCTTGGCGAACACCTCGAAATCACGCAACGGAAATTCATGTTTGGTCATTTTCGAGACTTGGAATAACAGTGATTTAGAGTGATACACATGATAACCACTGTTTATCATACATGGAATATCATGGGATGACCCTGATTTGGGACTTATAAACCAGGCTTATTAACCAGCCACTGACTGGGTTCCCCAAGTTGTTTCTCGCCAACGCAGCATGTGTTTAGCCATTTTTTGTTGCGGGATATTCCATTTTTTCCCTGGAAGTTAAGGTAAAATGGAATCTACCAACAATGATAACAATGATAATAGTGGGAAAAGGTAGGCTTGGGCCCAGCGGGCATACCATTTTCTCATGACCTGTCCAGAGGAGTCAGCATGACATCAGACCTGGGATGGCATACCTCTCGACTACATGGGTGGTCTAGATCAACTAGGGAAACCAGTCTGTTAGATGTATTCACCATTTTGAGGAAACCCAGCTGCCATTGCCATTTCTTGGTAGGTTTGGTTCATGTTCGTTGCTGAGCTGTCCCATGATTGTTGGTGAAATTAATCCCTCATTGTTAGTTGATTTGCCTATGCTTGTTGCCCCAATCACCATCTTTGTTAGGGCTTCGTGAACTGACTTCCAAACTATGTTTCATCAAGCAGCATTATTTTGTTGGATCAATGAAGCATTTTGTTGATAAATGTTGACTATGTAGTATATACATTAAAAAACCAAAAAAACATAATAATAAAACTACATAGCCACGTATAGGTGCATCTGAACATAGGGTACCCCCACAGCACAATTCCTATGAAAGGGATGGTTCATTATGTTTCCCACTCGCAAATCTAAAGTTTTTTTTTTTGATGGGTGCATCCCCATACATTTGGTTAAATCGACAATTTTTGGAACAACACAAAAATCTAATTGTTTGTTGTATATTACACCCATTCTGAATTCTCCACCAATAAATTCCCATTAATGTAATACTAATGTAATAAACGCAATTTCATAAACCATCCCCAAAATCACAATCTTTATGGACGGGATTGAAACCATCCGAAAATGGTAGATTTACGGTATTGGGTTTCCCACATTATAGCGATTTAACTATACAGTTATTGGCAATTAGTGGTTTACCCATATATATATATATAGCAATTAGTGGTTTATCCGACTAAATAGTCGTACATTGATACACCCACCCCACATGGTAATTAATGCTTTAACCAACTAAATATGATATATATATATATATGTATTATATATATATACTTGTATTATATATTTATATTATATGATTGTAGATTACGTGGTTTATATCAATGTATTGATGAGTTTAGGGGGGCGTTAGGAACATGCCAAAGCTCCACCACCAGCGGTGGCGGGATTTTCTCGCCAACCACCTCACAGTTCACCTAGGCCAGGGGTGAACAAACATGCCCCCAGTTTGAGCAACAAAAACTGGAATTGCAACCATCAAACATGTGGATGTTAGCCATGAAACATTGAGACTGAACCAAACACACATGGGGATCTAATCAACAAACTGAAACTTCTTTGTGTCCGTGTTAAACATTGCAATTTAACCACCAAGAGCTTGAGAGTTCACCGACATACCCATATGATGTATAATATAAGAGTACGCATAGCCTTTCATAAGTACTCTGGAACGACATTTTTGTTGACCTATACACCCCACTCGCAAGGTGTAGGAACGCAAAAGCAAGGCTAGAAACCAACCGAACAAGAAATCTCAAGCAATTTACAACTCGGACCTGCTGTGTGCCTCCGGAATTCATCTCAAATTAGAAGTGCTCTGTAATTCCGTGTTGGTTTGGATGGAATTTGTCACGGACAGTTTCACTTACCAACCGCCAGGCGTCTTGCCGTTGCCAGTCGGTAGTCGGTAGGGATCATGATTTTAGGTAGGATGGAAAACTATCAACCTTTGAAGCCGCCAACCATATCTACGTATGTGTATCTAAATATACACATATTCAATATACTATTACACCAGACAATGAACCATACTCTCACTTCACATATCTATATTATAATTAATGAATCAACAAATAGATAATAGATATAAGTATATATAATATAATATAATAGTATGTATAATATATTGTATATACGTAAGTGATCCCACTTCCAGTTCCCCAGTTCCGCTCCGCGGCACTGTGGGTAGCGCCACCTCCACATGGCCGCCCTTCCGATAGCCAGGACAGCCCCAAAGGCCCGAGATGGACACGGGGATCGGCACCACTGTCCTTAGGCGCTGCGGTGTAATCCATATCTATCCCAGATGCGAACCATGATGCTGGAATATTTAGCTACAAATCTGGGCAATGTTTGGGGTAAATGTAGGTAAATATTCCAGCACCATGGAGCATATGGGTATTATGGTAGAATCAATGTAGAATCCATATTTATTTGTGGTATTAATCCATATATGTTTACTTGGAGGATCATCCCAGACATCGTAAGTGGTTCATAAGCCTAGTTGCTAATTCCGGGGGCTATCCGCTATCCCGTACAGAAGTCAGCCATTTTTGTTTCTGGTTATTACTTTATCATACTTTATCTATCAATGAATGTGGAGATCTACCATCACTTCAAATTGGATCGAAGAAATCATAATTTTATTGTGGCATTATGGCATACACATAATGCAAATTCCACATGTGTTTATAAACGATTACGGATGAATAATAATGACAATTAATAGTAGATTCTCATGGGTTACATGTAATCCACTTTATGGATATAATAGTTAATTCAAAAGATCCCAGGTACCACATGAGTTTGAGAGCCCTCAAAAAACATGGAACCGAAGTGATTATAGATGAAAAACATTGAAAAACAATCTTACGTAGTGACTTTGTGGAGGATTTTGTTCACTAATCAAAATATCTATATCATGAATTGAACAAACATTAGGAATATCTATATAATGGTTACTTTGATAATCTTCACTAATCACTTACTATCTATAGAAAGTCCCACAACGGATCACAACTTCGATCGAGGTTGACTCCAGGCCATGAACCAAACTTGCAAGCTACATAGGTATCCAAGAAAAATCCGTGAAGGCCATATGGTGGTTTCCTAAGTCATGGGGCTACCCCCCAGTCATCATCATCCCATTTTTTGGAGGGATTTTCCATGAAAGCAACCATCCAGCCATTTAGGGGCACCCCCATGGCCTGTCTTAAAGAGACTCTTGAGGCCCAAATAACCTGTTGAGGGGTTAGCTTTGGGACCTTTCTGCCAGATCCTTTCCTGCGTTGTGAAATCAGGAACATCCTGTCACTTCACAGCTTGCCATGGAAAATGACCCATTCATAAAAAAAAAATCTCGATGATTTATCATGATTTATCTGAAGATATTTGAACATGGTGATTTTGCAGATAGTTCTGGGTCAATTATCATAATTCACTAACCTGAATAGTTCGGCCATTTGGGGGATGACGGGGATGATTTCCCTATAATCGTAACCATGATTCCAGGGTTCGGTCACCTCGTGAGGTCGTTATATGTATTAACTGTCGTCGAATCATTGGTAACATGGCCCAGCCGCATGCGTCCCGGAATGTGCCGGTCGAAGCGAACAAACATCAACTCCTGGAGAAGATGTGAGAAGCCCATAGGACAGGTTGGAAAATATGGCTTTAGCCTCTTGTAAAGCAAATATAACATAGCTATGGAACATGACCATAGCTAGTTCGCTTCGTTGATTTACCTATTATTACATAGCTATGGAAAATGACCATTTAGTTCGTTGATTTACCTATTACAGTTCGCGATGTTCGTTTACCAGAGGGTATATATTATAATATTATATATATATAAATAACCAATTTGAACCAACATTAGAAATATTTGGAATTAGATATGATCCATTGATGACTATTGGAATCCATGTGGATCACCATGGATCCACATTTTCGAGAACCGGCCGTGGTGTCCTCATGGGGCTTCAAGCATCAAAACATAGGCTCTAAATCTCAGGGAAGGATTTCGGACATCAGTATCTACTTTGAAAAACCACTGAAAAACAAAACATCTTCAAAAACTAGACGTTTGATGTAGAGCCATGTATATGAATGTAATACATATATATATATGTATATATATATATCTATATGCATCAGCACCACCTATATATATGATTATATATGTATATATTATACATAGGCGCATATGTAACTATGTTGATAATTAACATTAATTAAGTGTATAGTGTATAGATGATAATCGCATAGACCTAAGAAACGATGTGAAGCACCCGCCATCGCCATCGCCTGCTCCACTGGATGAGTGGAGACATCAGTAACCACGCATTCCTCCTCGGAGTCGGGGGAGATTTGGCCATGGGCCATGTCTGCAAAGTCGTTTTGGAAGATTGACATGTTGAGAGAACATGTACAGTTATGACCCGAAATACCAGTTATAAGTACTAAGAAACCCCCATTTATAGAATGTATAATCCCACTTATAACCAGTTATAACTGATAAATGGCCATAACTGTATGAACACGTGTACCAAACCTTTTAAAGTGAACTCGTTGTCACGCGGGTGGACTCTGTATTCAGAAATGGTCACTGAAGCAACACCAACATCGCCACTGTGGGTCGTTTACATATAATTATCCGATGAACACGGCTCCAACATCCATATAATGTAGACATTGCGGAGATAGTATGGGACAAAGAAACAGTTTCACGAATGGTATATATGTTGCTGTTTCTGTGAGCTTGATTATGGTGGCAACCAAAGAACTACAGGTATGTTGGTCACTGTGCATCCATGGCTGCCTTCGCTCTAGTACCTGGTAATACAACATACGCTATTTATTTATTTGGAAACTATAGCAAACTGATTGATCTATAAATGTGATATTACTATACTATCAGTTTGCTGCAATTACCTATAGGTTTGATTGATCTATAAATGTCATATTACTATACAATCAGTTTGCTGCAATTACCTAAAGGTTTGATTGATCCATAAATGTCATATTACTGTACTATCAGTTTGCTGCAATTACCTATAGGTTTGATTGACCTATAAATGGTCATATTACTATACTATCGGTTTGCTGCAATTACCTAAAGGTTTGATTGATCTATAATGTCATATTACTGTACTATCAGTTTGGTGCAATTACCTATAGGTTTGATTGACCTATAAATGGTCATATTACTATACTAGCAATTGCTGTAATTACCTATAGGTTTGATTGATGTATAAATGTCATATTACTATACTATCAGTTTGGTGCAATTACCTATAGGTTTGATTGATCTATAAATATCATATTACTATACTAGCAATTTGCTGTAATTACCTATAGGTTTGATTGATGTATAAATGTCATATTACTATACTATCAGTTTGGTGCAATTACCTATAGGTTTGATTGATCTATGAATGTCATATTACTGTACTATCAGTTTGGTGCAATTACCTATAGGTTTGATTGATCTATGAATGTCATATTACTATACTAGCAATTTGCTGTAATTACCTATAGGTTTGTTGATGTATAAATGTCATATTACTATACTATCAGTTTGGTGCAATTACCTATAGGTTTGAGTTTGGTGCAATTACCTATAGGTTTGATTGATCTATGAATGTCATATTACTATACTAGCAATTTGCTGTAATTACCTATAGGTTTGATTGATGTATAAATGTCATATTACTATACTATCAGTTTGGTGCAATTACCTATAGGTTTGATTGATCTATGAATGTCATATTACTGTACTATCAGTTTGGTGCAATTACCTATAGGTTTGATTGATCTATGAATGTCATATTACTATACTAGCAATTTGCTGTAATTACCTATAGGTTTGATTGATGTATAAATGTCATATTACTATACTATCAGTTTGGTGCAATTACCTATAGGTTTGATTGATCTATGAATGTCATATTACTGTACTGTCAGTTTGGTGCAATTACCTATAGGTTTGATTGATCTATGAATGTCAATATTACTATACTAGCAATTTGCTGTAATTACCTATAGGTTTGGTTGATCTATAAATGTCATATTACTGTACTATCAGTTTGCTGTAATTACCTACAAGTTTCATTGATCTAAAAATGTCATATTACTGTACTATCAGTTTGCTGTAATTACCTATAGGTTTGATTGATCTATAAATGTCATGTTACTACAGTTTGGTGCAATTACCTATAGGTTTGATTGATCTATAAATATCATATTGCTATACTATCAGTTTGCTGCAATTACCTATAGGTGTGATTGATCTATAAATGTCATATTACTGTACTATCAGTTTGCTGTAATTACCTATAGGTGTGATTGATCTATAAATGTCATATTACTGTACTATCAGTCTGCTGCAATTACCTATAGGGTTTGATTGATCTATAAATATCATATTACTGTACTATCAGTTTGCTGCAATTACCTATAGGTTTGATTGATCTATACATGTCATATTACTGTACTATCAGTTTGGTGCAATTACCTATAGGTTTGATTGATCTATAAATGTCATATTACTATACTATCAGTTTGCTGCAATTACCTATAGGTTTGATTGATCTATGAATGTCATATTACTGTACTATCAGTTTGGTGCAATTACCTATAGGTTTGATTGATCTATAAATGTCATATTACTATACTATCAGTTTGCTGTAATTACCTACAAGTTTCATTGATCTAAAAATGTCATATTACTGTACTATCAGTTTGCTGTAATTACCTATAGGTTTGATTGATCTATAAATGTCATATTACTACAGTTTGGTGCAATTACCTATAGGTTTGATTGATCTATAAATATCATATTGCTATACTATCAGTTTGCTGCAACTACCTGTAGGTTTGATTGATGTGTAAATGTCATATTACTATACTATCAGTTTGCTGCAATTACCAATAGGTTTGATTGATCTATGAATGTCATATTACTATACTAGCAATTTGCTGTAATTACCTATAGGTTTGATTGATCTATAAATGTCATATTACTATACTATCAGTTTGCTGTAACCACCTATAGGTTTGATTGATCTATAAATGTCATATTACTGTACTATCAGTTTGCTGCAATTACCTATAGGTTTGATTGATCTATAAATGGTCATATTACTGTACTATCAGTTTGCTGCAATTACCTATAGATTTGATTGATCTATGAATGTCATACTACTGTACTATCAGTTTGGTGCAATTACCTATAGGTGTGATTGATCTATAAATATCATATTACTGTACTATCAGTTTGCTGTAATTACCTATAGGTGTGATTGATCTATAAATGTCATATTACTGTACTATCAGTTTGCTGTAATTACCTATAGGTTTGATTGATCTATAAATGTCATATTACTGTACTATCAGTTTGCTGTAATTACCATATGTTTGATTGATCTATAAATGTCATATTACTGTCAGTTTGCTGCAATTACCGATAGGTTTGATTGATCTATAAAAGTCATACTACTATCAAGGTTTAAGTTATGGTCATCTTAATTGCCAGGTTTGATTACACCATTTTTCATGGGAAAACAGTATATTTTTCCTGGGACAATTCACTATACATGGCCATTTTCAATGGCTATTTTGACATAACCAGAGGGTATACTGCAAGTCTTTCCTTCCATTCTCGAAGAAAACAACGGGGATCCAACATCGAGTCCATCACTCGGCATCCCGGCGATCCACTTGCCGATGTAAACACCTCGCTTTCGGCCGACCGGCGATTTTTTAGAAACACAGCGGAGCAGCCAGTGGATCATCCCGGAGTGTAGTGATGGTTTACAGGCAAAGAACATGATAAGTGATGGGGACAACATCATATTTGATCATATTTGATCATCAATCATTTGGTTCATGGTTTCAACTCACCCCGCCACTACTTAGGAAGAATGAGTCAATTGGGATGAGCATGGATGAGAATGTAGTAGACACTACATAGATATTGTTTTGTCGCAGCATTGAAAGCAAACATGGTTCAACCAACGTTTGATGCCTCCGTGGGCAGTGGGTATGACATGAACAAACATCCCCTCTTGCAAGGACATAATCATTGGATTGGTTTAAGGGAAAATCTACAGGAAAACATGGTTTTTACCATTAAATATGGGGGTTTCCTGTAAATTTTCCCTTAAACCAACCCAGTGACATAAACGACTTAGATACATAAAAAGAGTACAAGCCTGATCTTAGGACTTGACATGGCAAATTCATAAAAGACACTTTTTGAACAAGATAGAACTAGATTGACATATTGACATTATATTATATTATATTGTATAATATAATATACAATAATATAATATAATATTATATTATATGATATTATATAATATAATATTATATGATATTATATAATATCATAGTATATATTTTTATTATATATGCCATTCCTGTAGAAGTCTTCCATGCTGGCTCCATGGGCACTTCGCACGCGCCCACAGGGCGCAAAACGCCCTCGTCCAAGGCGCGAAAAAGTCGGCCCTTGAAGAGGTTGGACAAGTGGCCATTGGGTTCGTCGAAAGCAATCCTTGGAAACAGAACACATCGTTTCCCACAAGTTGTGAAAAAACATGTTTAAACTGTATACTAAAAAAATAGCACTGCAGTAGGATAACTCGGCCAAAAATTCGCACCGCAGGTGGGTCACGGAATCACCCCTGGGGCCCTGGTTACCCGTGCTTTAGATCAAGAATTCGCATGCGGACTGCTTAGGGAAAAGCGTTGTATTCCATCTTATCCATACGGCTTCAGTTACCCACTTCATGAATGTCAACTACCAAGCACTTTGCAAACGAGCTTTATCCCAGGGGTGATATAAATCAACGCCACCACCACATTTGATCCGAGCAGATCCATAGCTCATTGGGGCACCTCATGAGGTAATCAGCCCTTTCGAAAAACGTAAATCATCAAATCTTTCTGCGCCATAATCTTCCATAACTATAATTGTCCATGGCCATGCTAGTTTACTGAAGAGTATCAACCATTTTCCCCTGGCCATTGAACACCCCAGAATCGCTTCCATCTCGTTCTTGTTGAAGGTCACCTTTCGATTGGGTCCATACCTCGGCGATGGGACTTTTGACGACAGGAGCACCATTTCTTTGTAGGAGGCCGGGGAAGACTACCGGCACGCCATACACACGTCCATATAACATAATATTTAACATCATATAACTATATATAATAATAAATCAACCCTGGATATATGTGCTGAATACACTATCGTGAACATTATATATCGTGAACTGTTTAACATTATATTTGTTACGGCTACATCCCATTATATCTTTCGACGGTCCGTTAGCATCCTTCGAGGTGTTGCATGATCCCAGTTAGCCCCAAAACAAAAAACTGGACAAGTTTAAATGTACTGTAATAAATTTCTATAAATTCTCTGTTTAGAGATGACATAAAAACCCAATGTTTCTGGAATTTCTGCCTCGTCCTCAAGGAAAGGCACTTGGAAATCACTCCAGGAAGGAGGTCCTTTTCCAGCAGAAACTCCTGTCTTTTTTCTGTCATTGCAACAGTAATTCGTTTTTTCCCCCGGAAATTTCGCTGCACCCCATTTGATGGCAATTGTCATCAGGAACATGATGATCAACCATGATATTGTTGGCATACCCTAGTTTTATTGTGACAATAAGATTCAATAATATTTATCATTGATGATGATAATAATTGTTTTATTGTGATGTATAATATATATATATATGATACAAAACTGCAAATCTTATTGTATTTCAATCAATGATGATACACTGCCCACACCATGAGATCTTAATGGGGAAACTGGAAACTATGATCAACGATTAGGTGATAGTGGAAGCTGCCGGAAGTTGGTGATATCTCTCGGCCTTCACTTCCAAAAGTTGGTCAGTGCTGTTCCTTATGTTTCATGTCTATATATTTCTATGCTCCATTCAAGCTGAATTTCTCTACTATAGACATCTATAGACCATATATATATATGTATATTATATTATTATATATAATTATATAGACGGTTGAACATATTCTTCAGTAAATTTCTCAACAAAGTGCCTTGTAGGCTCCCAACTGCTACAGATTCAGTCTGGGACAGCCGTGGCAACTGCTCAGTAATCAATCCCCGAAATAACCATCAATGGGATTCAATGGGTATGGTTTAACCATCCCCAAATGGTAGGTTCATGGCATTGGCTTTGCCAAAAAAAACGATGGTACAACAATCAACATTGCCAATCTTAGATACCCTTGCGTATACAATGATAACAACATCACCATTTGTGGTTCAACATAATTCTAGCGTATCAAGGAAGCCATCCAAGATTACCTCAGAGATTGTCCATGAGATATGAGACGAGCTGTTCACTTTTTTTTCTCACACATTGCTAAGTTTATATAAACTTGAAAAACTGGGTTACTATGCCGTGTTTTTCTGGATTCTACTGGGATCGTCCCAGTCTACACACCCGTCACAAGAAGTTGATGGGGGATATCACTTGAAGATGGGCCTATTCAGAGCTACAATTACAATGCTTGTAAAACGCGCTCTTGTAACCAGTGCACCAAGCCAAAAATGGTAATAAATCATCAAACACCCGTAGATATCACTCCTATAGCAATCTCATCGAACAATAGATAGTTCTCCTAAGCATATTTCTAGAATCTTAGACAAAAAACTGGTTATAGATATCCTTAACCACCCCTTATCCTTTAAAAAAACAGGCGAACCACCAGCCCTCCCGGCTTCCTTCATGGTGAACCTGGGCCATGGATCTGCCCGGATGTGCACTGTGGAGTCGCGTTCCGGGACGTTTTGGAAGTACGACACCATGTCCTGCCTCGGAAGCCGTGGGAGCCGTTGATTCCAAGGATATCAAAGAGGACCTTGATAGCTATAAGGAAATGGAAGGGGCTATCTATGTATACAATTGTATACATATAAAATGATAATCAATGATGTCTATGTCACAATGAAATTCGTTAAAATGATAATCAATGATGTCTATGTCACAATGTATTTACAACTATATGATTCTTGATGTGGATTTGAACTGTGGAGAAAACTCTGCCTTTCACATGAAAACAGGCGTCGTTTGTGGATGTTGATGCAATACATGTTTTCGTCAACCCCTATGTAGCTTACAGCATGCATGGCTCTTGAGCTGGCACGGTGGAAGATATGCTATACGTATACATATATGTACATCTATATTGTTTTTTTTTTTAAAAAAAAAAAACATAAAATAAATAATTACAACATGTCATATCATATTTATATATATATGACATATAGATACATAAAAATGTATTTATATAAATATACATATAATAATACATATACATAAGTCTGTATAATTATAATACGTACATACACATTATGTTTATACACATCATATCATATAATACAATATAAACAGAACATGATGCGTATTATATATATATATATACATATAGCACAACATCACATGACATAACATGACATAACAGAATATGTTTAAAATATGTATGCATATATATATACGGATATAGTGATCATATATGTACACACTTCAATTGGACATTACGCACCTGTACAAATACATGCAATATATCTGTAAATCTATATATCTGTATATATATATATATCTGTATATATATATACACTATATATATATATGTAGATCTAGTAACCATTAACTTCCAAGGCGCTTCAGCAGCTCCCATGTCCTGAGGCAACCGGTGCATAAAGAATGGGTTGCCTCTGAACAAATTTCCAGAACATAGAATGACAACAATCTATTTTTAGGATTTGCACATTCTATTTATGTTTATAATATAGGTATGTATATACTAAACCATCTTTGAATAAACATATGCATGTGTACATGAGATAGATACTGTAAATAGATTGATAGATTGATAGATTGATAGATTCATTCATTGATTGGTTGATTGATTGATTGATTAGATAGATTATATAGATTATATAGATTATATAGATTATATAGATTAGATGAGACTAGATTGGATTGGATTAAATTAGATAGATAGATAGATAGATTAATAGATTAATAGATTAGATAGATAGACGGGGAAACAATATCGCAAGCAAAACTGACAAATCTCAATCGGGGAACCGATGGTTTTGGGGTACCCCATTTTCAGAAACCCTGATATTGATATATTGGACATGGGCCAAGGGCAATGATGATATTATATAGAACTTTTTCCTGGAAACCATATCAAAGTATGTATATAGTACCCTTTGGTAAGTTAACACAAACCCTGAAAACACCATTTTTTTAGATATTTTTAGTGGAAACTAGTCTTTCAACCCCTGTCTGCCAGGGTCTATGTTAACTTACTGGAGGGGAATATAGACATGACAAATAGTGATTACCCCCCATGTACCAACTCATTGGCTTCATCATGTATGACATGGGTTGAACCACAATCAACCACCATCATTGAGCTTTGGTTTCAGAGAAAGCGCAGCAAAATACTGCACATAAATTCACATAAAACTCAATTTCACAGCATAACTCAAAAAACAATTGTATGTCAAATTTAGTAATAGTTTCACATAGTTTTGCACACCACATATGTGGCAGAATGTTTTTTTCAAAATATCTGGGTGTGTCTGAAAAAAAAGTACCGCAGCATCCATTGGACTATCATTTTCCCTATTGAAAAATACACAAAAATAGATGGAGCCAACCAGCGGAAAGTCATCAAAACATGTTGATTTCCATGACAAAATGTGTTGATTTCATGAGGACTGGAGAAACAAAATGAAAGGAAAAGGATGTCAAGAAAGGGACAGGTTGTTTCGTTTTTCGTGTTGCATGTGTTCACTACTGACACTACTGTATTTCCTGCCATCTCTTGTCACCCTATCCCTTGGCAATTCTGTAGCCCGGTGCCAGTTAAACAGCTGGAGTCATTCAATGGCAACTAACAGGACAATCAACTTCACAGGACAGCACGACAAATCACCCCAGTATACCCCGTTGGTCTTGCGCTACAAGGATCATTTTTTGTACTTCCGTCTTCCATGGATACCGAACCTTGCTGAATGCCGCAGTCCATGCTGGTCACAAATTGAGGTCAGCTGACACGACTGAATGCCGCGCGGTAGTCACTCGTTGTGAAGATCAGCAATTAGTGTGATACCAAAATACGAGAAAATTCTCACCAAATCCCCCAATCCAAAACATGAACGCAAAATAGCACTACGACAATTCAAACATGAAACAAATGCAGATGACCGTCTTACCCCGTCTCTAGTAACCTCGTGGCTGAAATAAAGCTTGCCAAACTCACAAATCTGACAAGTGCTTCATCATGTTTCATCAATGTATCTGCCTTGGCTGCAAGCTATCAGACCCATTGCATTCAATTGGATCCATTTTCCAAGGGAGAACATTGAACAAACACTGTTGTTGCACCACTGGCCATGGATTGCCAAATCAAATTCGGGACACATTGTTTTGTGAACAAATGACACAAGGAAAACCAGAGATGTGGAGACTTGGTGGCCAGGCACTAGCTTGGGACCTCTGGCTGGGATGCAAAACAACCCTGAACAACTGCATTTCGTGTGACCCAGGTCCTATATTCCTGGACACACCTTGCCACGGAACCCGACGGATCCTGTATCCTGCATCTGAGAGAGAAGATGAAGCAACCAGCATGAAGCAACTCAAAAAATATCATACCTTTTATCGGAATGTGAAAGTTCCCAAGGGGCAGTGGTCCTTTTTGGTGAACATAGTCACAGCACCTGTGTGGTGAACCAAGTGCATCAGTTCTATCGAAAGTGCTCTTTGGCTGAAACGTCAACAAAAAGAGCAGCAAGACGCATCAAAAGACAAGAACACACATGACACATGAATCAGGAAACAACACAGGAGGAACATCAGCAACAGCAACAAGTACAAGATCAAAAACAAACACAACTGGAAACACAAAACACACAAGAGAAACAAAAACAACATGGGAAACAAGAACAAGAAGAAAACAACAACAACAACAACAACAACAACAACAACAACAACAAAACAGAGAGAAAACCAGCCCGCCAGCCAAAAAACAAACAAAGAAACAGGGAAACAAGAAAAGAGCCGAAGAAACAAAAAAACAAAGAAGCAGGGAAACAAAAAACATCAAAGATACAAAACAACAAAGACAGACACAGAGAAATACAAATAATACAGACACACAGAAACACAGAAACAAACACACAAACAAACACACAAACAAACACAAAAACAAACAAAGAAACAAGCAAATAAGGAAGCAAGCAGGCAAGCAAACAAAGAAACTATCAAACAACCAATGCAACATAAACAAAAGAAAACACAACAAGCAGACAAACAACATCAAACAAACCAACAACCCGATAATCAAATAGTCCAAGAAAGAAATAAGCAAGCAAACAAAGAAACAAACAAAGAAACACACAAGGAACAAACATGCTAACAGGAAACAAAAAACAAAACACCAACACAACCAGCAACAACAACAACAACAACGCCAACAGCAAGAGCAACAGGAACAGCAACAACAAGAGCAACAACAAAAAAAACAGCAGCAGCAGCAACAGCAGCAACAGCACCAGCAGCAGCAACAACAACAACAACAGCAATAACAACAACAACAACAACAACAACAACAACAACAACAACAACAGCAGCAACAACAACAACAACGATAGCAACGAAGACGGCAATGGCAACAACGGTGACAACGACGAGAACAAGACCAAGAGCAACGGCAACAGCAACAGCAGCCGCAACACAAAACCGAACTGTTACTACAATAACAGAGTCGTCCGCACCCCCATCATCTCCATCCTCCTCCCCCTCATTATCATTGAATCATCAACATCGTCATTGATATGGGTATAATATATATATATTAGGTATATATATATTTATAATATATGTCATCCCATATCATTTCAAATCATCCAATATCATTCCACATCATGTCACTGGTGATTACTATTCACTCGTGTATATATATATACATACATACATACATAGACATACATATAAATACCAGCATATACGGCCCCTATTTCATATCATTGACCCTCCACTTTAAAAATATATGTCAATTGCAACCGAATAAATGTCAATTTTGTTGCAGAATCATACGTCATGCATATGTACACATTATATATATATATTACAATTAAATATAGTATAATATAATTATATACTTGATTTTCTAAATGTATACACACACGTGCACGAATACAATGTTTATGATTTTTTGCAAGTTGGGACATCAGGGAGCCAGTCCTTTGCTCGAAAAGCCGCGTGAACTCGGCACTTCTCCCGCGGCCAGTCCCGCAGATCGCGACGCCGCCAACGGCCCCAGCGGCCGCAGCGGCGACCAGGCATGGAACATGGCGAATCTTCGCGTCGGTGAATACATGGTGATATCAGTGATATCATAGGTACCCCAGAATTTGAGGACATGCTCAATCGTTTTAAGGCAGTCAAGGCAGTTAAGGATGTCCTTTTCAGGAACACCCGGAGAGTTTGTCGATCTATTCTGTGATTCGGCATGAGTCGTCCTTATCTGAAAGGTTGGAAGGATGGAGCAACAGTACGGGTGAGCTTTTGGTTAGGTTCTCTACCCACAACCGGTTTTTCGTATAGGCAAGTCACCACAAATTTGCTCAAACACACGTAAACATGCGTAAACTACAGTTGGTTTAGGACATTCATTCAGTTTTTTGTCACTTGCATGACTGGTGATTCTTGGAGCAAATCTGGAAAAATATATAACTGATCCCCAAAAGATAGATTAATCACTAGTTAAGTAGGATTTTACTTTTCTATCTTTCCTGGGCTAATACATTGATCTCGGATAGCGCATGCCATAGCCATCTCCCCAGCGCTGAGTTGTGCCCCAGGCTAGCGAGGGAAGTGGATGTAGCTGCTAGATGGATGGCCCCCCATTTCATGATTTCATAGCAGATCTCATGGAGAAAATGATTCTCATGGGAAAGGCATGATGTTTGTTTAATGGGATCTCCTCATGATTTCCGGACAGGCGATCTCTCATTATGTCGGTCCTAGGTCCGAGCAGAAAGGACTCAGAGTTCCTGGCTGGATGATGGCTTGATACCAATCTGCTTGGAAGAACTAGTCCTATTGAAAGGATGGAACACATATTATTGTAAAACATTTAAGGTTTTTTGTGGATTTTTTTGAATACACTATCCAACAATGCGAGAGTCTCTGAATCATACCGTCATACCAATGTTGATCTACTTATCTGATGAAATACAACGTCACTATACCTGTACTAGGTAGATTACACTGAGACTCGTCTGCCAACCCAGGTGGAAGCACAACAATCCAGAGACCACGAGATAAAATTATTGTGTGATAACAGCATAACCGTCTGAAATGACTAGGAAATCGTAGTCTCCCTTCTAAAAGATCTAAAAGGACACGCTTGGTTGACTAGGGCCCTTTTTTTTAGAAGCACTCCTATCCCGACACTGTGGGTATTTGAAGGAACATGTTGAGAAGATATGCTTGCAGTAGATATCATATATGTTAGTTGCAAAACTTATCTGGTGAATTCCAGGGATACGTTTACTGTATATTATAAATTATACTACATCAATATATACGATTATATACGTATACAGTTCTATAGGTATACTTCTATTGCGGGTCATGCCAAGCCCGGATTTTTCTAAACCAAGGATCAACAGCCACGACAGATCCGCTGGCCTTGCTGCGCCATGGTGTGAGTTTCTGTGTGTTGACCTTGACGAATATCGATTCATCGTCGTGAATCGGGTGAACCCGTTTGAATCAACACAAAGAGCTGGTGCCCAAATATATATCCCATGACGGATCCATGGTGCTGGTATATATGCTAACATGACTGGGATATATTGATGGTAAATGTTACCATATATAGCAGCATCATGGATCCTATGGGTATGGACATATTAATGCAACCCTGTTTCAACATGAGAAAGATTGAAATCACTGGCCTATCTTCGACATTCTTCGACTCTGATCTGTGGTCATGAAGACTCCCTGATCCAACCGTGGTGATTCGTCAAATTCTTCACCACGTTGGATATCCTTGAAGTCAGGATTCATGTCTTGTCAGTGACGTCTGACTTGAGCATAGAGCGGTCAGAAGCCGTGAAAACTCCATTTTTAGCAAACCATTGGCTCTCATCAAGACTCATACATACTCATACCAATTCGCCCAAGGCGCGTACGACTTTTCGACAACACAACGAGAGGACAAACGCCCGGAACCCTGTTGGGCAAGGGAGTGATCATACGGGTGAAGTGTTGAAAGCCCATGGTACGACGAATGGGAACCCCTATGACTTTCCAAACAAACCATGGGGGCTTTGCCATTAAAAGGTATTAAAATATTATTAAAAGGTAGGATCTAACTAGCAAGGATGGCAAATGTCATGATATACTGGGAACAAGAAACCACGCGAATCAGCTTTGTTTGAAAACATCCAGTGGATACCAGTCGTGAGACATAGATTCTCACGGTGGAATTCCTCAAGAGAAGGGGTGTGACATATTCAAAAGCTCAAGATTTCCATAGGTTGTCCCTTCTATTATATATATATATAATTATATATATATACAATATATATATATGTGTCTTGAAACTGCGGTAATCATTAGCTTCTGCTTCTGAACTATAGATCGCTTTCGGCGGAAGTTGTGCATCCTTAATTTTTGAATAGACCCCTTCCCAGCAGGTGAAAATCTGCGGATAATTCTCGCCCCCGTGGGCCGGCCGGTGGAGAGCCCCGTGGGACTGTGAATTGGAGCCCCTGATGGGTCTGATCTGCTTCACGCTCGTGCGATGCTGCCAGTATGACAGAAATATCATGAAATATCTACCCTGAGACGTCTGAGACATCTGAGACATCCACAATTTCTGAACTCAGAGTGCACGTCAAAAAAGGGCCTTAAGATGCCTGAAGTATCCGATTCGATTCTGGGCCAAGGTTTAGAAAGTTGTTCATACCCTCACATACCCCCACAGATAGTTCTCGACATGAATCCCTTGGAAAGAGTGAGCGAGTTCGCTATTTCTTGAATCGCTGTTTGTTTCCCTCTGTGAGATCCATTGATTGCACCATGAATATCTATGAATGGCCAATAGGGAGTTGGCGTTCCCCAAAAAATGACAGGGTGGTCATGTTTTAGTAATTAGTACTTCTTGTGATTGTTGCATGATGACTCTTTTTGGGCAGCAAAGTAGCTATCCCATCCATTTTTCCATCCAATCTAGTGGCCATGTCACCATCCAATGTGGGGTAGATCGGGTAGATGCCAAACAGATCAAGATCCATGAGGAGATCATATGAGATTGAGTTGGTGAAACCTCGCCCCAGGCGGGAGCAGGAGCCGATGACATCTCCATTGACAAGGTTGAGGCAGTGTGCAGAGCACATGTCAACAGTGGAACTCACACCCAAAGTTCCGGGGTACTGAACACTGAACCTCAGCCAACCATATTCTGTATCGATAGATTCAGAGAGAATGGTAGATAGGTTAGATTATACAGATTAGTTTAGATTGCCCATTTAGTTCGGTGATTTACGGTGTTTAAAGATGATGATTTTCCAAGCAAACTGTTAAAATCACCAGACTGTACCAAGAAATCATAGGACAAAGGTATTTTCAGCATCTTCATAAATCTATCACGTACAATCCAACATAACAAACTGAGGTTTTTCCGGGGGTTGCAATTGGTGAGAATGGACCAACATGCCAATGAACTGGTGACTAATGAACCCAAGACTGGGGGACGAACATCCAATACCTTTGGACGAGTCTTTAGGACCAGTTTGTATTGTTAAACCAACCTGGTATGGGGCATCATAAGAGCATTTAAGCGGTGATACATCTGTTTGATATTTTAACATATTTTAACATGTGTGGTTGTTGTTCTTTTCTCATACCATGTATGGACATGTACCAGTATGAGGCCATATGAGACCATATTCGACTATATATGAAGTAGAGAGATAGAGGCATACCGAACGTGTATATATATATACATAGATTGACTATGTATGATCATACAACATCAACTGAACGGACAGGTGTGTCATAGAATGAACATGATGACAACCATGACTTTGTCATAGCACATGATTTCTGCTCTCGCTGTCGCCAGTATTTTCAATAGTGCTTCTATACGGGGGTTTCTATAGCCTTGGGGGTACCCCAGTAGCTGGATGGTTTATTTCATGGACAAACCCAAAAAATAGAAGAGGTAAATCATGGTAAACCCCCATTGTAGGACACCTCCATATATTTATCCTATTGTACGTACTATAACTAGTCTGCTTTTGGATACAGTGTACAAAAAACATCAATGTGTTGTTGTTCTCATCTTGGACTTGCTTAAAGGAACCTCTCAAAAAAAAAAAAATCCCTATAGATTCCGCAAGTAGTGGATTTCCCATTGGGATTTTTTTTCACACCTTAAACAAACCCAAGTCATCAGTCTGGCGTCGCATGGAGTCACTTCTCAGGCGTCGAGGTACCCGTCTACTGCATGGGAGACCTCCGGAGCATCAAGTTGGGCCACTGGCATCCCAAGAAAAACCGGAACCTTTAACGCGCCACTGGTAAGGAAAAAATAACCATTTTAAGCAGCCAACATGGGGATGTAACTTAAGCAACCTGGGTGATTTAACATGATTTAACCATGAAAATTGGAGGTGTCTAGCACTCTTATTGGGGTAATGATGGTTAAGCACTCGAGTTTAGGGTACGATAGTGTATGCTATTTCCAGGCAAACCCATATAGATTACAGGTGGAACCCATTCTGATGAGGCAGAACCCAACCTAGGGCATGCACCTGTAACAGAAATGACCATTGTGGACTGAATGCGATTACAGCCATCATTTCATAGGTCTGAACATTTAAAACAGAGGAGGAAAGTGGGATTGAACCCTATCATTCCTTCCTTACCTGCATTATGTGGCTTTCATGATGATGTGCTGGAACTGGTGAGTGAGTATTCTTCATGATTACCGCGTGTGAGTATCTGAAAACTTGAACTATTTGCTAACTTTAGCCTTGGTCCCAGTATCACGGGAGTTGGGTCTCAAATCAACGACTATGGTGGGGTACAGCTTTAGGTTGAGAAACCCTAGGGATGATGCAAATAACATATGGAATATATATATATATATTGCAATGTATACATGTAATAAGTACAGTTAAAAATACATGTATTCTGTATTCTCATGTTCCATTTTTTCTATTTCGTCAAGTGTCGATTTCACCCTTTTGGGTCCTCTATATATATATACACAGTAATATATAAAGGCTTTCCAGGAAAACAACTCAGCTGAACCGACCGTAAATACAAGGAAAAATTGGAGACTGGCCCGTTTAGCATTGACCCATGTACCCTTTGGTAATCAAACATGTCAACGGACAATGCTGAGCATCCATATCTGTACAAATTTTTGATCGGACAATTTTGCTGCAAACAAACATATTTAAAAACACATGGAATCATAGATTGGTACAGATCGAAACCTGCAGATGATGATCATTAAGGATATATATATATATTATAAAAGAACACTTGACACGCATATAGTAGATTGTCAATGTTTCAATTATACCTTGTATAAAACAATTATGCAAGTTTTTTCCCATTAAAACAACATATAATAGAGGTTTCTTAAAGGAAGGGTAGGCATTATATATTTCATCCAGCTATTGGGGTACCCCATCCATGGAGCCCCATATATATATAAATATAAATATATACATATACATATACATATGTATATAGTGATTTATGGGGACCAACTCCCGGTTGTAGATTTCAGTTTCATGCTGGTCAAATACAATCTGGGGACCGACTTCCATGTAAACATGTTTTAGAAGGGTTGGAGCTTAAACTATGGTTTGACCGGGCTGGTTCCGTTTTCCCCGGGAAACTAGACTATACAACTTCTACAGAAAATCAAAAAAAGGTTTGTGTCCCGCACTTCCATGGTAAACTGTCCTCCACTTCCATGGTAAACTTAAGGGGAGCGTATATATATAAATAATATAATATAATATAATATAACATAACATAACATAATATAATATTATATATATATACATGTCAGCCAAGCATGTTCCCCCGGACCTCAGCACACCATGGCGCCGCTCCCGGTTACCCCGGTTGCGCTGGCCTCAACACCGGATGGGCCATTTCATTAGATGGAAAACACATATTTATAATGATAAATATATGATTATAATGATTATAATGAAAATTTTAGGCAAATTACTAAAATTATAATGATAATGTGATTTACATATAAATATATATATATACATATATTATGATTATAATTGGTTATATATGTATATTACATATAGTAATAGTTTATATAGTGATTATATACTATAGCGAAAGCCCACAACTATGTAAACAACAATAATCATGATTAAAAAAACAAATAATAACAGTAATGATAAACATGATAATACTAACAATGATCAAAATAACAAAACCAATAGCAATAATCACAATATATTATTCAGTATGTACATATAATTATAGAATATTATAGATAATTCTAGTTATGTCGCGATGTGAGATCATGATCAAAATCATCCAAATATCATCAGAACATGGCTCATTAGCGAAACCAGCCTCATAGCGTAGGGATGTCTATGAGACTCCAGCCTCTGTTTCAGAAACCTGGACACCGTCCCGAACATCTGAGATCTGCACATCGCACATGCTGCTGGACCTGTGAGGCTATCTCCACGAGGGATTATCTCCACTCAGCTACGAAACCATTCAGCCTGCCACAATATCCCACAATAGTACGATTTCCCGCATTAATTGGCAACCTTATAAAGAGTAAATGTGGGAAGTGGAAACATATGGAAACATTTATATGACATAAGAATCATCGATGGAATCAGCTGGAGTGATTCATAGCAATTCCAGGTGGACATCGAACCGACAGGTCGAAACGTGGGATCATCCATCGATTCCTTGAAGCCGACCGAGGGAACCCCCATGGCAGTGAAGAATCCCCAACCGTAACACATGGTTGAGAAAAAAATAATTTACCATCTGGTTATGACTAACATAGCCATGGAAAATCACCATTTTCAATAGGTAAACCATCTATAAATGGGCCATTTCCCATTGCTATGTTAAATAACCAGAGGGTACTTCTGGTTGTTTTAGGTCCCAGGTGAGTATCTACCCATCATCACTGGTGTCCAAGTCCCAGCTCCGCGTTTGATTGTTGCCCATTCCAGTCAAAGAAGATCTACCCTCTGGTAATTTAACATAGCTATTGAACATGGCCCATTTATATCGTTGATTTACCTATTGACAATGGTGATTTTCCACTTCGCAAACTGTTTACCAGGCCGGCTATCACTCACCTCCCACATTTCCGGTGCTTCGTAATACCGATCATCTCGTGAAATCCTGCGAATCCTCAGTGAGTTTCACCATTTTTTTGGTGACAGATACCTTAGTGATACCCCCCCAAAAAATATAAATGTGGTAAAGCCAGTCATGAATCACCCTGAAATGTTACACTCGTTTTATGGAAACATATGGAAACCATCATCCCCAAATGGTCGGTTTATCGCTGCACCGGCGGTACCTAGTAGTAGGAGGACTCTCGAGCATCTCCTGGGAGGTCCAACCGCACTCGCCATGGAGGTTTAGCCTTTACCCTCTGGTTATGACTAACATAGCCATGGAAAATCCCTCATAAATGGAGGTTTCTAGCTGGGAAAATCATCTGTTTCTATGGGCCATCTATACCATGGCTATGTTAAATAACCAGAGGGTATAGGAAAATGCGCAAACTCAATGCTGCATTTTTCCAGCAAACCATGTTTCATGACCAGAAAGTAAACCGTGGAGAAAAGTTGTAGATGGGTCTAGAACCCCCCTTACAGCTGGGGCAGCCTTCCTGAGGGATATAGCTAACAAACTGGTTGTTATTCACCTACAAACACAGGGGTTGAATGTATGGAATAGATTGAGGAACAGTGATGTCTAAAAACAACCATGGTACAACTTGTTTCTACATGCTGGAGATTTAGGGACAAGATGGGGAATCTTGGATACCAACTGTTCCCCAAGGTATACTGAGCCTGGGGAACGGCAGTTTTCCAATTTTGGGAATGGAATGGACTGGCTACTGCGAAAACTCGTTGGGAAAGCATGAAACAACATGTTTTTTGTCACAAGAAAGGCACGTGGTTGTGGAATAAATGTAGACAATGGTATTCGATATGTACATAACATGTATCGGTGAACCTTGTGACCCCACAAGTGTGTGACCCACCAACAAAAAATGACTAGTTGTGACAACACCTCACAGGATGAAACCAGAAAATATGTCGTTCCAAATATCCTGTGCATCTTTTCATGGTCAATCTGAAAAAAAAACACCCCAAAAAAGACATGTTGATACATGTTGTATACATGTTGTATACATTTGTTCCAACCTGGTATCATATGTTTTGATTGAACAATCGATATGTTCGAACTAGTTAGAAATCATAAACTACCCCGTCAAGGCTGCTTGCCTGGGTGGTTCAACCAGCCTGAGAAATACAAACTGGAATTCTCCATGTCTAAGCTTGAAAAACAAGGAAACATGTGAAAACCCCAGTACCTAGTAACTAACTAACCCTTGCAAAATTACATTAATGGGCCGGTAAATACATTATAATACATCAAAATTTGAATATTTGAATAAAGGTGAGCAAATTTAGCAATGAAAATACATCAAATATCCAGTTGACCACAAAATGTTCAGCCCCGCATGGAGGATCATCTCGCTGGTTAGTTCATTGTGGTTTTAGGGGATGATCCCATTGCCCAAGACACCAACGGACAGGACCCGCTGGACCATGCTGGACTCGCTCCTTCGGTGAAAGCATGGCCCCCACGAGGCATGCCACACGGGAGGCACCACCCACGCCCAACTGCGGTGAGGCGATGGAGGATTCGATCGAATTGGACATCTGGACTTACCCACTATAAATGGTGATCATAGCCTCTAGTTTACCATAGGAAAATGGTGATTTATATAATGGTTAACAATGGTGAAACAGATGGGATGATAATGGGATTTACCCAACCTGGTTATGACATTCACAGTTCGCCATGGTTTTTCGATGGCCCTAATCGAAATAGATGGTTTACCTGGTTTACCTACTACAAATGGGCGGATTTTCCATGGCGAACTGTTAAAGAACCCGATGGTAATGAAAATTTAACCAACAACTGGTTGGTGGTTGAGCCACCCCTCTGAAAAATATGAGTTCGTCAGTTGGGATGATGACATTCCCAATATATGGGAAAATAAAAATTATGTTCCAAATCACCAACCAGATTGGGATGTAACCAACCAATTTCTATGGCTTGAATATCAGAACAATAGGCTTACGATGTTGGGATTTAATTTTCACCAACATAAGTGGTGGTTTACAACCCCATAGTGGCGATAGAGTGGAATATACAATCAACAATATTACCCTCTGGTTATTTAACATAGCTATGGAAAATGGCCCATTTATAGATGGTTTACCTATGAAAAATGGTGATTTTCAATAGCTATGTTAAATTACCAGAGGGTATCTGGGTGTTCTTGAAAGTCTGGAATAACCCACCCTTGGGGGGTCGTTTTAATGGGAGCAAATATCATTGACCACCCTTGGGATTTTGGGGTACCCTATTTTCAGACAAACTCATATCTGATTGATGTGTGCCATGGAAAATGGTCAGAACCATCAAAACAGGGACTTTACAACTGAAGAAACTCAACATTTAATGAACTTGTAGCAAGTTCCTTTAATGCCTCCTTAGTCAACCATCATTTAAGTGGATGACTTGTAGCAAGTTGCCTGAAATGCTGAGTTTCTCGTGCTCTCCCTGCCAAAACACTGTTGAAGTTCCCCTATCAGGCGGTCTTAATATCGTACACGGTTCACCTCGTTGCCTCGTGTTTGAACCCTAGTTGTCTCTTGTTTGTTGCACGATTCTCTTAAGCCATGTTATATAAACCATAATCAGTGTGTTATATTCATGGCAAAATCCCGTTATGTGTAGGTATATATATATATATATGTGATTATATTGTATTTACTCATATTATGTATATAGGATATGCCGATATCCACCGAAAAATATTGATACTACCAAATACCTATGGGTCAAAATATTATGACCACAATAATAGGGATGTTGATGACTACATTGTGATTCAATTGAATTCAATGGGATATCATACCACATGATTTAATCACATTCTATCATATCCCGAATATATATATATACACAATATATACATATATGACGGTTTGCCAAAATGTCTTTTCCTGGCTTTGTTGATAAATCGTAATTCCTTGCGTGCGGCTTCTTATTGTGCCTTTAAAACCATGACTGACCTAAATAGTCTGAAACCCTGCATTTTATCTTTCATGTTTGAAGCCGTAGCTAAAACCTGCAGTAAATGCTAACGCGCATCTACTGGTATGAAGTGGGTGCCGCTGCTAGTTGTTAGTGGTGGAACTGGAATATCTGCAGAGCTGGTCGTTGCCTTTGCTGTCACTGTTGCTTTATCAAACAGACAGGATAAACTACAAGTTCTCTGGTGGCGACTGGGTCACGGGTCAACCAATGCCGATGTTTGAAACTTTTGCTAGCGCATTGCTAGCGCATTGCTTACTAGCGGGGATCTAGCCTGTAAAATTACGTACAAATTCGCAAAGTTGAGCCGCAACCTCAAAAATAAAGGAAAATTATTGAGTAGCACAGAATTTCACTAAGACATCCTTAGGTTTAAGAAGCTAAGTGTTACATCTTGACTTTTCTTCATGTTAAAATATGTTAAAATAACAAGCGAACAGGAACACAAAAAATATCCTTGAACATGGGAGTGAAAAAAAACTAGCGCAAACCTAGCGGGTTTGCTAGCGCTGCCTTGCAGAATTGGTGAATTTAGTTGCGTGCCGCCTCATAACGAAGAGGAAAAACAACATAAAACAACTAGGTCCACACTAATTATCAACAACTAGTACAAAACTTCTGTCAACTATTTTTGGCAAATGGTTATTATATATATATATATATACATAATTATATACATTGTTGAGCCATATTATATTAATATATGATATGTATAAATATATATATGATATCCTCATAACATATGCATATGGCTTACTTATGGATATCATTAATATACAACAAAAAGACACCGAAAACCGCCTTCGAAGAGCTGAGGCAGGTGGAGAGAGCATCCTGTGCGGAAAGGGGCCGGAGGTACCTGGTCAAACCAACTGAAATCCAAACTCTCAAAGAATCACCAACTGTGAGATGCGTTCAATGTGGTTTAAATGATTTAAATGGATCAAAAAGGTGATTTAACCAAGAAACATGGGGATGTGAAGTAATTTGAAGCAACAAAAAACTGTCTAAGCAAACATGGGCATTTAAGCAGCAAAAGTGGGGGGTTGCTCGATGATGTATGATTCATAGGTTTTGGTTGGTTGAAATACAGTAGTATGAAATAGCTATCTCACGGCTTGATATGACATGAATACATTTATACGTACTTATATATTCCTAGATAAGTAAAACTAATCAAACACATATTTCTAGGGAACCTCGTCCTGTGTATCCGATTGGGTGAGTACGCACTGAATATTGTGCTTGTATACAGTATACATGAATTAGGTTCCCATTATTATCTTTTTGTTCGCTGACTAGACATATATAGTACTGTATGTAAACATGGGTATACATAGTGATTAATGTCACTTGTCACATTCGCCGTGTTGCCTTCTTGCATGTGAGGTAGAAGGTATCTATCTGCATATATTGCAACCTAAATCTATAATATATGAGAAAGAGAGATGTCGTCTTTGTATGAAGCTGATTTCACCAATGGACTTGTTCGCGTATGTTGTGGGCGTGTGTGTGTGTATATATATATATGCGCATGCATAGTGAAATTAGTGAACTAATCGACAAGCTACAACTATCAACCAAAGCTATTCAGTCAAATTCGAGTAATTAGAGTGCCAAAAACGATGTGCATATATGAATGCAACATAAGGCAACACTTCATACCTTGAGTGAACCTGGTGTCCTTGAACTCTGGTTGTTGCTTAAACCATCCCATGACATTGGGCTGCAATAAACAGCAGTTCAAGGATTTAAAATTTAATGTCTGGGATAGCAGCAGCTATAATGGACATTCCTATCAACAACATCAACAACAACAACAACAACAACACAGCACACAACACACAATACACAACACACAACAAAAAAATCACCATCATCACCATCATCATCAATCCCCTATCATTGGCCTTGGTGGTATGGTGGTAAGTTAACCCCCCGAATCTATTGGTTGAGCATCATTATCCCAACTTAACTGTCATAAATTGGGGTGCTTCCTCATTTCAGACCATCTTATCAACAAATCTCATCTTATCAAATGGTCATGTAGCAATGATATAAAATAACCTTTGTTGATGGTTTCAAAGATGTTAACACCACCATTTAGATCACCATGTTGGTGTTTTAACATGTTTGATACAGTACATAAAATCACCATAGATGTCACCATTTTTTCATCACCATCTTTAAACCACCATTTCTGGTTGGTGGTTTCAACCCCTCTGAAAAATATGAATAGTCAATTGGGATGATTCTTCCCAATATATGGAAAAATAAAGCCATGTTCCAAACCACCAACCAGATTTAAGTCACCTTTGATGTTGCTTAAAGCCACCATTTAAGTCACCGCCTCAGCGATGGCTGAGAGACCACCCCCTCGGGGCCAAAGAACGGCAGCCTTTGGGACGGCGACCACGAAACATGCTGGCTTCAAGGCATCAAAATGCTGGTTTCATATGGTTTCATGCTGATTTAACCCACAAAAGTAATGGTTTAAGAATGTTTAGACATGGTTTTGGACCATGAACATGTGACGAAGAGACCTTTTGTCGAACATGAGCATCCAACCCATATGGCCATGGGGATTTTTCACCATAGTTTGGGATGGCTGCTTGGTGAATCTTCCAACCGTAGGCTCCAAATTTTGGCATTCACCACTTTCCAAGTGGGATGATGCTGCGGTCGCCACCCAATCCAGGGGCCGACAAACTGATTGAACATCACAAATCAGGATTTCACCAATGGTTGGAGAATTGATGCATCTAATCCAGGCGAGAAACCATTTTCACTGGGATTCTTCAGCCACATTTTCTTGTGAATTCAACTATCCAAAGCAGATGTGAAACGGAAAACATGTGAATATTGCTGCTGTAACCAGTGGTTAGAGGTGGTTACAATATTATATCAATTGCAGTGGTGTCACTCAAACATCTACCAGTCGAATCAAAGCATCATGAAGGCAGAGTAGATACTAGACAGATGATATAATATTTATCTAGGCGTGCATATAAACATATGGAATCATATGTGACATTAGATTAGATTAGGTTACATTAGATTATTGGATTCGATTGGATTGGATTCGATTCGATTAGATTAGATAGATGGATTGATAGATGGATAATTCTAGATAATTCATGATAATTCGTGATAATTTAATAAATAACCATACAAACAATAGGTGGGACAATAGGCAAATAGATGCACATGAGATATATGAGCTGGGCAAGTCAGGTCACAAGCCCATGTCACTTGCTATGGCAAGGGAAATGTCGATCCCGTTGCTAACCACCGTCCAGAAACTGTGCTGCACCACACAAAGCAATCCAGGGAATAGAAGGCCCTACTGACCCATGGCTGGATTTCTACAGATAACATCAGTTAACTCATTCGTCTTTTCGACAGACTTGTTGTATATACAGTGGATTATAACGTAATATATATATATGTGTATATCATAAACATATAAGTATAATTTATAATCAAATCATATTATAATATAGATTAATATAGTGATATCTCCTGTAGATATGATATGAAGTGTATTATACAGTAAATCTCCTCAATATCTCCATCAACAGCTTTCCATGGCCTCCACATCCTCGAGACAACTGAAGCTACCTCCCAGCTGTATCCGCGCCTGAGTTGCAGCGACCAGCTGCCAATACCGCTTGCTGAATCCCAGTTGGATGCTACCCACTTCAAGAATCTAAAGAAGTAGCCTATATGGGGGGTTCCATTTTTATGACTTTTTGTGGGGGATCCCCAATAGCTGGATGGTTTATTTCATGGAAAATCCTAAGATGGATAAGATGGATGATTTGGCGTAGCCCTATTTTAGGAAACCTCCATATATCTCGACATATCTCGACTGTCGAAGATCATAGTCAATTGGAATTCCATGTGTGGACCAATCATCCAGTTTCTTCTCACCGAGCAAAGAACGGTTTCAATCCATCATCATCCGGGTAGGATTAAGTTTTTTGTTCATGGGTGATGTCTACCCAGTTGTCGATGGATATTTCTCCTTGCTGATACCCAAACTAATGATTGTTTCAAGATAAAAGTTCAAGTATTGGTATCAAAGCATCATTGTCATCATTGTGATACTCATGATAATCACTTTTAAGTTTCTCCAAACTTAGATTTGTTGGATCCCAAAATGGTGAATATCCCAAATTCTGGCAATTCTAGTAAGGAACATGATGATCAACTATTGGATTCTTTTCCATTCAGCAAACACCAGCAATCGTTGGACAGCCCCGCATAACCCTAGCGTGTCAACCCCGTTGTTTGCTAAACCCTGGCCCTGGGGAGATTTCATCCGGAGTTGACACAACATACTAAGAGTCCCAGACTAATCCCATCCGCCTAATATTTTTAACAGCCCTAATGATTATTCTGGTCCCTTAGTTATTAGTGATATTTAGTGATATTTAGTGATATTTAGTGATAATATATGTCGGCCATAGGCCATCAACAAAATAAATAAATCGTCGACCCAAATTGGGGGTCGTTTCTTGGGTTCGGAACACCAGCAGCTGGGACTCCCGGCAACCCGTAAGATCAGTTCTTCCAGGGATGGGATGGGCACGCTCTTCAGCACTGCCTCCTGTGGGATTTCTCACGAAACTGCAGCGTGCTGTGCGAAACGCCCTGGTTTCATGGTTTGTTGTGTAGGAAACCGGGCAAACCCCAAAAAGGATCCAAACAAGGCCCTGTTGAATGAGAACCTTAGATGATATTCTATTCAACACACAGTTTTCCTTTGTTTCATTCCAGGAGATTGTGACTCATGACCCAACCTTCATGTGTTCTTTTGTTGAATGGCAATGTACCCCTCCTCGGCCGGTGAAAAAATCATAGTTGATCATGGATCAAAACTTGGTTCTGTCCTGTTCACACTTTAAAAATAGGTGGCTGTTAGATGTTGGTTTCACTCCCCAGCAAGGAGAATCGTAGATGATTCATCAGGATTGCAACCCCTCATTTTTATGAGTCAAAAGCTAACAATATCGCATACGGGCTGGTGAAAGATGTACACACCATGTCATATCCCCAAATATCCCATAATCCGCTGTTTCTTCCCCCTTGGAGTCCCGATTTCTTCCCCTATCATCATTTGTTTGGGTGAACTCCGCAAAATCGAGATGTTCCATGTGAACTCCCTGGAAATCACCCATTTTTTTAATGGTTTTACAGTGTTTTCTCCACGGTTTTTCCATGGTTTTTCCCTTTCGGAAAATCCCTCCCCATTTCGGCAGGACCACGGCCATTTCGGCGTGGCCTCCATCTCCCTGAAGGCTAAATGCAGCGCCGCAAGGCGCTCCACGGATTTCTCCGCAGCGGGGCCTGAAAAGTCTGGGAAAAGAATGAGAATATAATGACTGGTTGGTGGTTTATGATCAAATTATGGATGTATTATGGATTTTCCATGGCTATGTTCAATAACCAGATGGTAATGAGGATTTAACCAACAACTGGTTGGTGGTATACCTACCCCTCTGAAAAATATGAAAGTCAGTTGGGAAGGATTATCTTATGGAAAAAATGTTCCAAACCATGGACCAGATGAATAGATATGAATAGCTATTGATGAATATGAATATAGTTATCATTATGTATTGATTATCCAATATTAATTACTACATAGTCAATAAATAACCCACTGGGAATCTAATGAATACGTGTCAATATTTGATTGTGACAATCTATTACAACTGTTACGACTATTGGGATGACTATATTGTTATATCAGTATGAATCATTATTATCATTATTAAATAATAATATATATATATATTATTTCTTGATCAAACGGATATTTATATTTATGACTATTACAACTATTGTGACTATGATTGAAGTAGTATGACTACTTAATACTATTGATTATCAAATTATGGATGTATTATTGTTATTGTCTATGACTTTATCTGTCTATGTATACATATATATATATATATACATACTCAGTGATGATGACTATGTCTAGTTGGACATGTTGTTTGATTCATGATAATTATTTTTTATTTAAAAAAATGACATTGGTGACACATGGACTAAAAACACGACTCAGGGACTTCATAGCATGTTGATGTGTTTGTCCATGCACAATATGGACCCCCAAATTTGGAGGTGAGGTACATTACAAATGGCCCCACTCCATTCTTCACTCTTCGCATTTAAGCATGCATTTTCTGGTTTATATAATTCGAAGCCAGACGCATTGTACTTAAATTACAGCATGTTCACAGAAAATCAGTATTTAGATGGACCATGGAGTTAGTGAAACAGTAAATTGGATTCAATTTGGGATAGTTCGTGGCTTATTGCCCAACAAAACAACCACTAGTTAGTGAATGTAAGCCCGCCCCGCCTGAGAGAAATCTCCGCCAAGCACCTTCAAGTTGTTTCAGCTCTTGTCGAACCGACTCCATCTCCTGTTGACGTGCTGCAAAATCCCCAAACTAAATGCAGCTTTTATATAAAATGGGAAATGAATGGGAAAGTCACCTATAAATATCCATAATACATATATATATATAATTATGTATATATATATTATATACTATACTGTGATATACACTGTATATATATAAAGGAGAAAACATGGTACCACATGACAAGACTATACACAACATGGTTTTTGACCAACAACACCATGGGGATTTCTACAGATTGATTGGATCATCCGTTGGCAAAGAGTTGTAACTGGCCGTTGTCGGATGCCACAGGAATCTAGTCAGTTCATTGGTAGGATATATATAATATAATCTATACATATAATCTATAATATAATATAATATAATTTAATACAATATATATATAATATAATAAGCCAAGAATCCCCAGGACAATACGGAAAACACGCAGTGATATAACAGTGAAATATAGTAGCCTATAATGGGCCTTAGGGTATCGTCTGACACAAGTTGGTTTACAACTAGCTTCGCAGGAGGTAGCTGGAAACTAAGCGATTGTAAACATTGACCAACTTACAACATCTTATTGTACTAAATTGTCCTAATTAGAACTACAAATATCTGTTATTTAGTGTGGTACTCATCCCAAATGTGTACAAGCGAAACACACTAAGAGACCAGCGACCATCTGATTGGTCTGTCATTCTATTCCGACCTGTTTCTTGAGACAAATCCCCTTTGCTGGTACATAAAATCCATCAAAATCCCCACGCTCTGATTGGGCACTTCCAATTCCAATGGATTGCGACCATGTTTCTCCATAAAGTGGCAACTTCGGAGGAATACCGGTATACCCGAGAATCATCCCCAATCTATAATTCGTTGGTTCAATATCTTTCTGCTTAAATTCCGTCGTCTTCTCCATGTTTGACGGTTATAGAAATTCCATTTTGTTCACCATGTTTGATGTACCGATGTTTAAATCCATTTTTCTTCACCAAATCCTTCACAACGTTTGATGATTGAATCTTGAATCTATGCATTATCTATTTATATAAGTGTCACCGTTGCTGAAATTCCCACCTGTTCCACCATGGTTGATGTGGTTAAATCAATCGTTTTTTCCCCATGTTTGGTGCACCAAAGGCGCCCTCGATCCCAGATCCTCAGTGCTCCAGCCGAGACCCTTCTCACGCGTTAACACGGCGGCCGCAGCCAGGCGCACCAACTGCGGCCAGCCGGCTGCGGTTGGTGATGAGATGACCAACCATGGGTTGCTTTAAATGACCATAGAAATAGTGGGATCTAATGGGATTTAATGGGATTTATGGTGGTTTAATGGGATCTAATGGGATTTACCCTCTGGTAATGACTAACAAAAAGCTATTGAAAATGGCCATTGAAATAGTGGATTTACCCATTAATAGCATGGTGATGTTCCATAGTTACGTTAGTTTACCAGAGGGTAGTAAATGTTGATGTTTGCTGGGACATTTTACCATCTAAGCAAGGTTTTGAGGGTGATTTTGGCAGTTATGAAAACTATGAATAGTAAGGTTTGGTGATGTTTGCTGTTCTATTCGCATCGTTCTGAGTCCTGAGGATTAGTAAAGGGCCTATTAACCAGCACCTTGCTAGGAGCAAGGGATTAAGAGGTTATTAACCATTTGTATACATACAGATTAATGTAATTGTCAGCGTTTATGACAATTGAGTAGTAAGCTAATGGTTTGGTACAGGCTTACGATAATTGACCACTACTGGGATTAAGTGAAGGGTTATTTACCACTGGAAAAGAAAAACACTCACAAGTTCATCAACCACTAATTAATAGCAAGGTTTCATGGTTCACTCAGGGTTTTCTTAAGGGTTTGTCCCATGGGTAGCTAAGTTGGTTTGTAATAACTGGTAGATATATCCGTTATTATGAATCAACTTATAACTGAGGAGGTCATTGTAGATATAAGGTTGTAGCTCACCCAAAATATAGAGAAACACATTCATACTTAGTATTGGGAAGATGTGGTAATGTGTTCCTTGTTTTGCATTTTTTTGTACTTTTTGTTTGGGTTTCTTATACCAACAAATAGAACCAATATCTGTTCTTTCTTCTGCGTTCTAGTAACCACCAACTTTGCTTGAGATTTCTTGAGAGATAGACTCAGAGTTCGACATTGTTTTCGGTGGTACATTTGTGGGGTTGCAATGGGGTAATGGACTTGGTTTCAGTGGTGTTTCATGATGGGGTCATAGTGGGGTTATCATGGGGTGCTCCGTCGCTCCCTTCGCCCACATCAACACACCCCTTTTAAGCCCTGGTGGCAATGGATCTGTGCAGGGAAATCATTCCGGGGATAGGAACCAGTGGGCATCAAAAACACCTTCCGAAAAAAAAAAAAACTGAAAAGGCATGCTACGAGTAGCATGGACCGATGAACAACACCAAGTGTATGTATATACATCACCAAAAGGACATTGTGATATTCTATCTATATATCCTAATATGTATGGAGGAATAATATAATAAATGGAAAGATACAAATGGAAAATGTGTGATATTCTATCCACTCCAGGAACCTCCAGGATTTGTCCAAACATCCAGGCGATTCTGGATTGCCATCCCAGCTGGAATTTTCTTCGATGGCAAAACATATTGCAACCTACCAGTTAAACTTTAAAATCAATTCACCAACTAACTTGTAACACAATTAGGACAGTTCTGGACAGTTACCATCATGAACCGTTTCTGGTGACGTTGGCATTGGCTCACGTCTCGGCTCACGCTGGGTCGCTTGTGAGGACCTTCAAAACATAGTTGGCATGTCGACTGCTGATTCAAAGGCAACAGCTACGCTGCTGAGTGGGGAAAGAAACAACTTCGACTTTGCAGGGTCAATCTTGGCCAATCTTAGATACCACTGATACCACCTCTTTTTTCCGTTCGCTGGTTAGCATAAGGTGTCTAAAACTGTTGGCCTGGGATGAAATTCCTCATCATTCTCATATGGGAATTCCCATATCATGATTATTCCTATAATATATCATATATATATATGGGATATATATATATATGGTGATATATTGATGATTATATTTTACCATATAATATCATTATTTTACCTAATATATATGATATCACCCATCTGGATTACGAAGGCGCCTGAGGGTCATCGATGTGGAGCTCCAAGAGACACCTGCCATGGATGGCTTAAAAGCGGCGCCAGGTTTTTGGGACGGAGGTTGAACAAACTTAAGGGAGATCAACAATTTGGGGCTTATGTCATATATATATATATATTATATATATATAAAGAAACAATGTACAAATATATGTATTTCAACTGATGTCCAAATTATATTATATATGGATCAATAGCTATGAAAATAGCATTTGGTATGGGGGATGAACATCCATTTTAACCCAGCTATTTTGATGTGAACTACAGGGGTACTATTGGTTCTACAGGGGTACTATTGGTTTTGACACACTGCCATATATATATATATGTATATAAATAATATATAAAGAAACAATCCGTTAACGGTCAATAGTTTGAAACATGTAGGGAGATGAAAACGCATTCCTCTTTTAATTTGCTGGAAATATGTAGAGAGACAAGGTAACATGTAACAGACTGTGGAAAATTCACCAACAACCTTCCCGGATATGATGGAGGTATCACCATTCAACAACGTCGGTATGGTAGACCAATCAGCTTGGAGGTCAAAAACCATATTGGGGGAGACAGTACTCAGTACGGGACATCGGGGTTGCAGCCAAATACAATCAAATGCAGTGATATACTACTGCGATTACAGATAAAATTTATAGGTAGAAACATGGAGCGTGGCTCAACGCAGGGATCCCAACTGGCTGGAGATGTTGGGTATGCACCACGCACTTTGCGGGTTTTTCTTTTGGAGAACCATCAGATTCGCACAGCTGGACCATGGAGACTTCACGGGATGTTGGACGGACAAAAAACGCAACAACACGCGGCTGTTTGGGGAAATCGCAATTTCCATACAGGTCCCAATATTGATCACAGCTGGGTCATTTTTGGGAAGCATTCACCATCCCAGCTTTCGGGTCTAAAAATCGCCTTGTTTTGTAGATACCCTCTGGTTATTTAACAGTTCGCCATGGAAAATCATGGAAAATCCAACCATTTTTAATAGCTAAACCATCTATTTCTATGGGCCATCTATACCATGGCGAACTGTTAGTCATAACCAGAAGGTAAAAGCTCCTGTTTTTCTGTGAATCCCAAGACCATCTGCGCCTGATCAACGATCTGATGCCGTGGCAGTCGCGCATCGTTTCTGAAGATGTATTTGATCAGTTTTTCCGGAGTCTGCAGAGAATTTCTGCGTTTAATGTGGTTTAATGTGGTTCAATCCAACTAAAATCTTTGGAAATTCCTCAAATGCAAATACAAAGAAAGTACAGCGGTCGAGGATAGCGAAAAGAAAAACAAACCTGCGGAGCAGCTTCGGAGTGATTGTTTTTGCATGTTTCTGCCCACCACTATGGATCACTATGGACCACACCGACCAATGGATGCTGCTGAGGGGGCGCAAGTGAGGTTTGTTAATTCCCATTGATTCATAGTGGCCTAAATGTACAATATTACCATTTCACAGCTACCGTTGTCTACCTGTGACTACACTATACTGTATATAAATATGTGTATTATCTGTGTATATATATGTATATATATGCATACAATGATTCTATCACTTCTTTGCTTGAGCGGTTGAAGAGTGCGTGCAGAAATCACAAGTATCCAAATGTACCCTCCGGAATCACCTATGACTGGGCCATTGTCCATAGCTATGTAAGAAATTATCGGAGAGTCGGAGAGTATCCAAAATACTCCAAGACATGTCCCGTCCCAAGAAATACTGCTTGGTTAAGGTTGGTATCCCTACCGGCATAGTTCAAAAAAAAACGGTAATGTACGGTATACAATATTATAATCCCTAGTTTCTGAATCCGGCGGAGTTTCTGAACCCGTCTTTGTCCCAATATTATATAAGGTCAACCCCTATGTCACAACCAATATAAACAATGGTTTTTTCAAACAGCTCACATCCCTGCTATGAATGTGTTGCATCCCATTCACCAGTCGATCTCATAAATCAAACATCGTCAAACCGCTTCAAACAGTTTGGTGTTGGTGACCACGGCACGATTTTTAGTGGATATTTGGATAGTATGTGCCGGCGAAAGGCCAAGCAGCTGCAACTCGCTGGACGAAGATCTGGACCAAGTTGAGTCGTTGAGTTGTTGAAATCCAACATGCATTCCATCGACTTCAAATGAGTGCTCAAAACCCGAAGTGTCGTCCCATGATTCATACTGGTTCATTGGATTTCCAACAATTTCCCATATGGATATAGTATAACCCGCGAAGAACATCAAGCAACAATGGTTTTGAAGACTGCAAGGCTAAGCAGATATCGAACTGATCAGTACTTCCCTTGTAGCAATATGAATCCTAAAGGAAGAGCATTAAAAAATTACTCAACAGCTAACATCAGCTAACTATCCATAATTCTCCAAGGCAAAATGTTCCCCGGCACGGCGGCACGGCGGCACGTCGAACTGCGGCCCTTTTCGATGTGAAACTGGTCTCATTGGGATGAGATCCATGAGATCCATCAGCGATCCTATCGGACTTCACAGACCTGGATTCCAGGACACCCGGTTTTTTTTCAATGGCACGTGTATGTCAATATATGCCTAGGCATACATATTTGTACATATATATATATATATGTATATATATTAATATATATATACTGTATATATTCATATATACTAATATTCTATATATATATATATACATAGAATACCGAGTCTACAGCTGCGTGTTTACTTGAAACACATGGTCATCAACCAAGTGTGGTGTGTTCATGCTTGAGGGTGGTACACATGCCACCCTCGTCCATCTGTGCATTTTGGATGTGGGCCTCACTGCAAACGGGATTGATTGAAAATTGGACGTCCAAAAATCCGTTGGTTTTGAGAAAAAACATGTTTAAGTGGTCAGTAAGTCTGGTTGCCAAGTACCCGAAGTGGGTCATCCCATTGATACCTGGGTGAACTCACTATGGTTACTAACCACTAACCAAATGGGATTATCCTCCATGTATTACAATATCTTGGGTAGAATTTTGCCTGTGAAACCACAATTTTCCCATCTGGCAGAGCATTTCCGATTGGTTGGTTGAATCCAAATCATGAATGCTTCAAACATCTTAAAACACGATGGTTAAACCGCCATGCCTAAAGCCACGGCTGGTGCCTCCGACAGCCACTGGCCCCACTTCTTTGAATTGGGACTGCACCTACCGCAAAGAAGGACAGGATTCGGGGCAAACGTGGCCAAACAAATTAGTGGGTTGGGCCTGATTCTTGACCTGAAAATCTATATTTCCCTTAAATTTCCTGCTCCATGTCAACTTCAGATATCCCAACACATGCAAAATATCAGATTAACCCGCATCAACCCTATGTGATATAGATGTCATAACAAGATGTTGTCCATCGCAAAATCGGACAAATCAACGGCAACATGGCCCCAACTGATCCTCCAGCTCCCAAGCTTTCAGTAATGCCCGTCCACTTCATGTTCCATCCCCAAACCTACTGTTGGCTTCAGGGCGGCCTTCTCAGTCTCATATTGAATCATTATAAATTCAATCAAATTAGGTATCATAATTTCATTGTTCAAGTGCAAAGTACTGTAAGCACCAACAAACCAACCAACCAACCAACCAACCAACCAACCAACCACAGTTATTTATGGTTTACTTTGAAGTATAAGTACTCACTATTGAATATTAATTACCCCACCCCACTTTTTGGTTCAAATTACCAATGGTCAAACAGCTAATAATCCTCGATAGTCCCAATGTTACGTCAATCAAAGTCAACATGTTTCGTTTTGAACTAAAACCCTGCTGGTGGACTGAATTTCCCGCACTGATCATTTAAAAACGTATGTATGTATGCATCTCAACATCCATGGACATATGTGCTTTGTTCACTTTAGAAATCAACACAATAAATATATATATATATACACAGTATATCAACTGTATTTGTCTGTGTATTATGTATATATATATACACCTTATATTGCGGTAGTATGATCATATAACTAGATTGTACGTAGCACAAGTATACCCATAATTATCATAGTATCATCATATCACGCACTACACCCTCTGGTAATTTAACATAGCTAATGTTACGTCGACAATAGTAAAGGGGGGTCCCCCCCTAAATGTTATTTTTATTTTTATTTTTAGGGAGGGGGGGGGTCTGCTTTGCAATAGTAAATCGAAAATCCCAACTCTTCCCCAAAGGCTTCTGTAAGGTTTTGACAAATCCTCTCTTTTCTGATGGGCTCTGATGGGATCTTCATTGGATTCTGATAGGAAGAAGGGAAAAAACGCCTGCTAGAGCCAGGAAGGTTGTTTCTTATTGCAAGTGCTAATTCCAGTTTTTAATTGCAAATGCAAGGACCTGCAAGGGGGTACCCTTTGTGGACCTGTTTTTTGCAATTTTTTAAAATGATTTTAATAAAGAAAACAGCTTTTTTGAACAAGGTAAAATTTTGATTTGGTAAAGGTTTGCTTTGTTTTTGCTTTTGAAAAACATGCAATCACAATTTAAAACCATTCAACCACAATTAAAAACACTAAGGAAGAAGGGAACAAATGCCTGCTAGAGCCAGGAAGGTTGTTTCTTATTGCAAGTGCTAATTCCAGTTTTTAATTGCAAATGCAAGGACCTGCAAGGGGGTACCCTTTGTGGACCTGTTTTTTGCAATTGTTTAAAAGGATTTTAATAAAGAACACAGGTTTTTTGAACAAGGTAAAGTTTTTGATTTGGTAAAGGTTTGCTTTGTTTTTGCTTTTTGAAAAACATGCAATCACAATTTAAAACCATTCAACCACAACTAAAAACACTAAGGAAGAAGGGAAAAAATACAGCTGAACTGTAACTGGTTCTGATTTTTTTTCCTGCATCCATACTAAATCTCAAATTAGTTCCTTTACAAATTTAGTATTGGAAAATCTGATAATTTGGGAATTTTCTGAATATCATTTGTAGCTATTGCGAATGAACCACATTTATTGCAGATGCTCTGGACCAAGGTTGATGTTTGTAATTTAAAATCAATAAGGCCTAATTTAAAATCAATAGGGGCTGAAAAATCAGATTCTGAAAATTATTTGTAGCTATTGCACGCGCTTTACTATTGTCCATCCAACATTATTGAAAATGACCATTTATAGTGGGTTTACCCATTGAACATGGTGGATCTTTCCATAGTTATGTTAGTTTACCAGAGGGTAAACCGCCATGAAACATCCCATAAACATCCCCAATATCACCATTTTCTGGGTGCCATATGCCATCCTCAAATATGTCCTCTCATCTTTCACAATTTGAAAAATTGCAGAACTCGGACGACCTTGAAGCGATTTCAGCGACTGGCGTGGTGCTCGCTGCCATCATGGGCCTTCCGTGGGATCATGAGGATGTCACGGTGTATATATATATAATTGTGTGTATGTAAATATATATATATATATATATCCACCAACAGTTCCTTTTGGGAGGAAAACAAGTATAAAGCGAACGAACATTGCAGAATAACCGGGACTTAATGGCACTTCAATATCTTCAATGGGGATTCAATGGGGTCTACCTACTGGGGATATCTTGGCCCGGTCGGAACACCATTTGTCATCATCGGTTGGTTGTGAAAAAACGTCACCCCACTCTTTTCAAAAACCAACCAGTGGGGAAAGGACATGTTTTTGTTACGCGAATGTACAGCGTGTGGTATCATCTTCAACACGCTCTATATCATTGGAATTCATCTCTTCTGTTGCTGTTATGAACAAAATATAAATCAGCACTTGCGATTCGTAAAGTGATGCACCTAGATCGAACCCCAAGTACTCCATCAAAGGGTATGGCTGGGTCCATAGGGTAAACTGTTTGGCACCTTGAACCTATCGACAAACCTTTGTTGGCACGTGCCTTAAATCTGCATGGAAGGCCAGCATGTACAGCAGTTGGCACGCGCTCTCCACCACCTGGAATAAGGGAACCCAAGGTCCCAGGGTTGTTTTCCACGGCCTTGACCCACCGCTCAACCCTCTGTCCTAATATCCAAAATGTGCCATTGTTGGACAAATCATTTCACTTTCGTTTCAAGCCTTGGCATGGGCAAAGGCCATGCGACAATCAGATCCAAATCGAACATGGTCTATTTCAACCGAAGGGAACACTAATGTT